GATCTTAATGGCCAAATTAGTGATTTTTCCTAAGCTAATGAATTCATATTGAGCCATAACCATAGCAACTCTGATTTATTTCTTTAGGCCTTGTTTGTAGTGACTGGTCAACGTTGGAACCTTCCATCCAGTGGATGTGGTGTGCATGTTGAATTCATGAGTATATGCCGCTACCCAAGTCTTCTACAATAATGATGTCCTCCATATTCAATAGTGTTTCAGTAGGTGTAGTTGGTTCCAGATCAGTGATTGAGTGACTTGCACGGACAAATGGGGTGGTTGGTTCTGAATCTGAATCAGCCTCTTCAACATCCGGGGCACTGTACGTAGGTCATGTGGTGGTGGTTTGGTGTAAAACAGAAGGTTCAAAGTGTATCAATTTGATCAATTCAAAAAAGGAAGGTTGGTTTGAATTTCAGATTGTGGTTCAATACATTGGTACAGTTTCAGTTCTGTTCAAATGCAAACTCTGATTCAAACTCTTAATCTAATTCAATTCTAATTCAAAGTTGTAAATTTAATCTTCTTCTCCTTTTTGATTTGAGGTTGGTGTAGTTATGTTTCCTTGATTCCCAGTTTCTAAAGATCTGACAATATGTTAAGATCAGGTTCATGAGGGGAGCTCTTAGTTGAAGTGAACAAAGGCTAATATCAGGCAGTCTTTTTTGTCAACAAGATTTTTGGATGAGAGATCAATCTATAAGTGATGTAATACAAGTTATAACTACACCACGGGGCTGATGGCACGTGACACTCACGTGAGATTTGACTCTGCCATTGAAATACGTGCTGTCTACATTGTCATACCCGACATGAGTTACATGTGCCAGCCAGTCTGGCCTTCACCCAATCTGATCACCTTGCTACAACATGATAACTCACCTGATGAGCGGGTGAGTCGTGTCATATTGTGAGTCATCTCACATCATAACAAGGTGAGGTGGCTCACTCAATGAACAGCGTGGAAATCAAAACCTCTCAACAACTCTCTTTTTATACTCGAGATCTCTCCTTTACACTTATGCTGGGTTCAGGCTGTTCTAGACAAATGAGGGGCAGCGTGTCAAGGATAACTTAGTTAGCGCGTCTTCTGGGTTCTCATCAAGTTAATTCAATTTCTTTATGAAGGATTTCTTAGTTATATTACATAAATTTTAAATTTGACAATCGGATCAATTACAAAACAAAGAGAAGAAAAAAATCAAAAAAGAAAAAGAAAAACAGGATATACTAACACCCAAGCTAGAATCAGCAGCTAAGAGAATCAACTAAAATGAATGAATGAGTCAAAGAAATCCAAAAAATAACAACAGAGAATTAGGACGACTTACTAGTTGATGTCAGTTGGTGTATTAAACAGCGGATAATTAGGTCAATTTAAAACAACTTAGAAGTGAAAAGGTATCAAAGAAGGGGAGAAATAAAAGGTGGTGAACGCTTGTTAGACTGAAAGAAGGGAAGATTGATAAGAGAGAGAGAAGAACCTTACTTGGAGTGAGAAGGAAAGGGATCGATTTGGGTGGGAAGAAGGCTAAGAAACCTAGTGATACTACATAGGAAAAAAATATGGGAAGTTGTTTGGTGGATGAGAAAAATTAGAAGAAGAAAAAAGAAAGAAAAATACCTGCAACTAGAAAAATCGAATTTAAGAATTACATCAACATTTGGTTGAGAGGAGTCTAGAGTAAAGAAGCTAAGAGGTAGATGAGTCAACAAGAATAGAAGATTAGTTAGTATGTGAAACCCATTAGGAAGGAGAAGACAGATGAAAGAAGGAAACAGAAATGACTTACACATTGGGAATCGAGATCGAATTGAACTGTGACTTTGAGAACAACCCAAAAGAGGGAGAAGAATGAAATCAATCAGTAGAAGCTATCAGGATGAACGGGAAAGAAACAAGAAGATACTTCAAAATACTTTCTAAAAAACCAAATAATGAAAACTAGAAGACAAACCAGGCTCACAGGAAAAGGGATTGATTCAAGCTGATAGCACGAGTATCCTAGTTAGAATAAGAGCAAAAGAAGATTTCTTTTAGTGGGTGAGTTATTAGTTACAAGGAAAAGAAGCAAAAGATAAGAGAAAAAAAGGACTTACTTTGTTAAAGAGTCGAGTGTAGTGGTGTTGAAGTTATTTAATTTTAGTTGAAGTCGGGTGAAAAGGGTTGATGTCTCAATTTTTGATTTTTTTAAAGTCATCTATACATATAAGGCCAGTACCCGAGTGTGGGGGGCTCAGGGCCGGGCTGAGTACGGTTCCTGGGTTCAAACCCGGTTAAGTTCGTACCTTTTGTATTGTTTCAAAAAGATTGAGTGTGTGCTGATGGATGGGAGGTTGTGCTGAACATCCCAGCTCACATGCTGAGCACCTGGCTGATAGGCCAAGCTCACATGCATCAGCTCACCCGCTGATAGGCTGGTGCATCACATTGGCATAATGTGAGCTTGCTGCTCACAGCAAGCTCATGTGTAGAATGGGTGAGAAGCTTGGGTGAGGGCCACGTAGCCGCACTCACGCTGCTTTCACCTGCTCTACACAACCACTCGGCGTGATCATACCCAACTTACATTTCACGTGGTCCCAGTTCAAAGTTGCCCCGTGGTGTACATCTCTTTAGTGAAATCTAACTCCTGTAACAAGCTGTCCAACAGTAGCAGAAGGGGAAGCTGGCCCCTAGGACCCACCTTCCCATCTGGGAACCTCTTTAACGCTGGCAGTGTATATCATGCTTTTTGCCTTTTGATAAGCAGAAGCTAATCAAATGTATATAGGAGACTCAATTGGGGCAGGAGGACGTAAAAATGGTCAAATGAGAATATGCAAAAGTGCCATGCAGAATGACTAAGATGTTTTTTGACATGATGACTAAATCTCATAGCAAGGAAGAGTTACACCGCCTTCAGCAATTGGTGCATTTGAAGAGCCAAATGCTTTTTGCCTCATTTGCCAATGCTTTCATTGAGATTTTGCTTGAAAAAGGGACTTCATGAATAGGTGTCATAGGGGAAATGGCATGTATCATAACCCAAAAATCTATCCACTGGTGGTGATTGATGCTTTCAAAATGTCTCATTGGGTGTGGGCTTATGGGTTGATCAGTAAAAGAAAATCCCACACAATTGGGCAGCAAGGAAGAAATAGTGGGAAGGAAAAGCTATGAATAGTGGGCTCAATAGAAAGGTTCAAGCCCCATTGTTCAACACTAATACTATTCATGGCTGCACTTGGGTGAGTTGTAAGTGGGAAGCAGAGAGCTCTTAATATGCACTTACCCATAATCCTGAAGCCCTGCTGTCATGACAGGGTACAGTGATTCTGGAGGGGTGAATCCCGATTTAAGAATATTAATGTTTCAAAAAATCATTGAGGCATACCTTGAATTGCATCTGACAGGATTAGGTCAAGACTTATGGTGATGGATTTAATCTGGCATGTTACAACCATTGGATATTTTCATAAGTTACTAAAGAATGGCGGAAGTTGGTCTTGAGTGTACAGCTGATCAAATTAATTCAAGTGCCCAATTTCAATTGATCACAGTGGTATTTATAATGATGTATCAGCATATATCTTCTGTTGCTCCCCAATGACTGGCGAGAGTTGAGGAATCAATCTGTCACATAAACCCCATAGAACGAAAACATCAACTGCATAAGCATCCTGGTTTAGGGGTTCATGAGAAATCTCGGAGACCACAAACATGTATAGCAATACGGGAACTTCGAGGTATCCATAACGTCTCTGACAGTTGGATTCGAGCCATCGAGACCAAGGAATTCCATCTCGTCGTCCAGGGTAGCGTCGTTGTTGGTCTCCCCTTGTATCCTCTGATTCAATCAAAAATCAAAGGTGTCAACATCCTATGCGATCCGGGTAGAACCATACGGAAAAAGGACACAGCGAGGAGAGACTCTGTATTACATTTCCGCCATACGCCAGCAATTGTTTCTGACGAGACTTTTGCCAAGTCGACCAGATCCAGTCAATATTGGCGTGATGCAAAAAGAAGATCCTGTCAGATTTATCGTAAGTTGGTATTGTGAGTCGATTTTCGTCTGTGCCACCAAAGAATCAAGGAAACGCTCACGGCTGTGAATGCAAGATGATGGAGATACGGTTTCGGAAAATTCAGCGATGGTGACCCCGAATGATTGGAAATGAATTCAAAGAAAGTATTCCTGACGTCATTTGCTGAATATGCTGGGGAGGAAAATTCCTATGTTTCGGACGTTTGTGATTTAGTCCCAGAATCAGAAAAAAGAAATAACATTTCGGCAGGCTGAAGAAACGAACTCCGCCGACTAGTGCGTGAACCATAGCATGAGGTCCAGGGCTTGCGTTTTCTATGACATTGGGATTTTCGCCCTACAAATGTTTGTATCACAATGAGTTCCATTTGGTTTTTCAAACCTTGGTGGTTTGAGTAGAATCTCCTAGAGTGACTCACTTCGATTGAAACCCAAAAGGAGCTAAAATTTCTAAATCGCAAAATAGTTTGGATAGCAGTCTCGTCGCTTTGAGGAAAATCAGAGGTGAGTAGGCCGGGTTATAATATATCTATTGACGATGTGGTGGTGGACAAGGATGATGTGCACTAACAAGTATTGGCTTCCAAAGATAGAACCACTGTAATGCAGGCGCGTCAGCTAGTCAATTCGGAGCGATCGGTGTATGTACGAGTTGGTTTCAATCGGACCCACTTGACAGATGAATCCAAGTAAATTGTCCATAGTCTTTCGAGGAAATGCTTGACGGGGTGCCGAAGTTCAAAATTCTTGAAGGCGCCATCCATGACCCTTCCCCCAGCTAAGGTCCAGACACATGAGTTAGGAAGCTAGATACTTTAAGATCGAGTCTCTGGACAAAGATACTGACGTGTGCCTAGTTGGGTGTTATGATCACCTGTCCCATCGCCTCCAAACCCCGCCTGAATGTGACAAAGACATGTGCGTCTGATTGGTAGGATGCTTCGTATCATCAAGGAAAGCTAGGAAATTTCATCGCACCTTTGAGTCAGATGACCACACTGGCGCAGTGGTGACATTTTTTGCGTCCAAAACCCAGTTCCAATGTGGCAAAGCACCAGAGTAACCACAAGAATTCAACTCCTTTTCGTAAATATATATGAACTGTCGGTGCCCTACGAAGAAGCAAATTCTTGATCAATCCCTTATCATTGATTACTAGGTGTATTCAGTCACTAACACGGCAGAAATTGGGCCACAAAGTGTATTTGACCCTGCGAGTTCGAGTGCACATATTGGAAATCATCGTATCGACGAAGATTAAAGTTTTTACCAAGACGCGAAGGCTTGGTCGCCAAACACTTCACGGCTTTGATGTAAGATATCCGGGCCTCTTGAGACAAGCTTCTCCATTCCAATCTTTTCCGGATAGAGCTGCAAGATTGCCGTCCCGGACTGGCTTGATATGTCGGATATACAATTGCAAGAAGATTTATCAGGGCGAAAGATAGGTCACATCGAAGTCTCATGTCTTCCTAAATTCGAGACTGATAAAGCAGATGTGGTCCTCGAGAATGTTAAGTAGAAAACCCTTTGTGCCGCCGATGTGAACCTGGCCGGAGGGATTGAAAACCTTCTGAGTTGAGCTCACCTTCCTAAGCGCCTGGGTAGCCACTCTCCTAGACTTCGCTAGAGTTCAATTCTGACTTCTCGCCCTCACAGCCTCAAAATACGATTCACGCGTAATCGGACAGCTAATTCCGCAAAACACACAAATTAACAAGATGTGGGTCAGACGAGTCAACAACAAGGTTAGATTGTCATCACATATGAGATTTTCGTGAGATGGCATCGTCATTCACGCCCGATCGTTACTGAAGGGCATTACCTGGATGATTGGTTTTGAAGAGATAGCAGAAATCATGAGTACTACATGTCTACATTTGATTATCTCTGGGCCCGGGGAGGGGAACGACTTATATACCCAACAACAAGGCATGGAAAAGGGAAAGTTCCTTCCGTGATGTTTTCGCTTCTTGCGGTGAATGACATGACAGTTTATTCACCCCAGCAAGCCCCAGCAGCTCCAGCTTCTCTCCCACGATAATTCAAGTCAACTGTCAGAGATAGTCGGAGAGAGTCAGAGTCGTTTGTATGTTATATGGCCCTTTTGCATGGTTTACATATCAGACGATGCTTAGCTTGAACAAGATAAAAAAACATGAACGTCATCGCACGATCTCACAAAACATCTCCATAAGAAAGTACGGACGTGCCCTAACTTAACTAAGTCCCTCTCGGACGAGCGAGTAGTCGAGAGAGGGACTTAGACCTTATACCACCTCTTTGGCGTTAAGTTAGGGACGTGCCGCTCTTCCTTCAAGTCATTCAACGGGTTTATCTCGTGATTTGCTGCGTATTCATTGCGAGATGAATATCACCGGATATTAAATGTGTACAAAATATATAAGATGTGTGGGCGAGCAATGTTTGATCTTGTTTGATAGGATACGCTGAATCCAGAATTCCAACTCCAGCGAATTTCTTACTTACATACTTACTGGTCAACTGGTCAGAGCGAGAGGACTGAAAGAATCAAGGCTTCAGCTTTGAGAGATGATTGAATGGAAGTTGCACACGATCTGGAAGTAAAAAATGATGATAGAGATGTCCTTTACAAAGCAGAAGAAAAGAGAAGCCATTCCTGTTGTATACGAACTCGCACATCATTTGCATATGTGACAAAAAATACAAGCAAGTTAGCAACAAAGCCAAGTGAACCATATAGTTGATTATCTTATTGATATATGCTGAGAATCATCAGACTCTGGAAATCCTTACAAATCTTTCCTGGAGTCGTAGGATTTTTGCATCTGGCAGTTCACTCAACTCCTGGCAAATGACAATTGGCCACTAGGAGCGGGCTTTTAGGAACGAGAATAGGACAAGGAGCCATCGTGACGTCGCCATGACGATTCGATGTGTAAGCTTTTCTCCTCTGATCATTACAGTCATCTGAGCTGTTTACCTTTTGCGAGATCCTTCTCTTTACTACTTTTTCGAGGACGCATATTTCCCTCAATTGATCATCTAACCAACTGTGGATGCTTTCTGAACTATTCAAGACTTGAAGCGCATACCTGTCTGATATATAGAGTACAGAAGATCGAAGGCTTAGCCTTAGGCTTGGTGGTATGATCAGAATTGTGCTAGTAGTAGTATCTAAATCTACCTGACCCATGTCCTTCTAATCCTGAAGATATAACCAAATAAGCACGGGTTTCAATGGCCCCTCGTGGACGTTTACGCAGTGATTCCGATGCGGTTTTGTGATTCAAGGCTAGAGAGAGTTAAAAGTTTTGCTTCTGAAGAACGATCAATCTCAATTTGACATCATGACAAGCTCCGTTTCTTCGCTTGTATGTAGGATGAAAGGCGAGGTTCTCGATGACATAGAGCGTGACTAGGTGTAAATCATACGATGCACCCCACAATCTCAATGAGGATGTGGCCTTGATGCGGAGGTGGGGTGACTAATTCGACTTAACCAGGATTGCTCAATGGCATGTTTGGATTACTGCAGTACATAGCTTAGAGTATGTCATGATATATAAGAAGAACCGGAGTGGGATTTGCTCGAAGTCAATAACTGTGGATTCTTCGAAGATCAGTTTCTAGCTGAGCCCAAAGCAATCATTGCACGAGGTTGTGTGCGCATCCCAAGCTGAGTCGCCTTTTCCTCCTGTATCGTTCAGTTGGCTACAGCATCCTTATCCTACAAACAGGCAATATTTCACTCAGTCTGAACCACTCAAGAACGCTCAAAAAAGTAGGAAGATTTTTTCCAAGATGCTCCTTAAGTAAAGGAAGAGCTTAGGCAACTATGAGTGATGGAACATCGGCCAGGGGAAGATCTTCCGTTTTCGTGCGTCATCCCTCATCTTGACTTTCGGAAGAGTTTATTTTAGGCGTGTTATTTCTTCGTTGATCTTATAGGAGATAAACCAAGTGTTCAACAACTGATTCAAGCTTAACAGTCAATACAACACTAACCCCTCCTGTGTATCAACACAAGTGCTTTATGGTAAAGCGCTACAGAAATGAGGCCAGTTACTGCCATTCTTTGCAGGAATTACTGCAAAGAAAGGTATGTCTGTTGGAGGTCTGAAGCGCATAATGGACGCTTGGTATCTTCTCAGCTGCCTATAGCAAAGCTCGATGTTGGACTAAGCACTATATCATGAGGTCACACCCTCGACCACTGAAGATTACTCTGCTCGTCCTAAGGCGATCTTTAACATTGCGCGGCTGAAGTGATACCTGCTTATTCTCAGTTGCTATTACATGAGAAGAAGATTCACCAGCGGCTGAATTCCTCAAATTCACCAGAGCTACATCTCCGAAAGTTATAAAGAGAGCCTTCAAACCTGGTCTTACTCGCTCAACTCCACTCACTCTGATTCTGTCACTTTTTCATTCAATCTCCTTGTCCGTCTCAACTCACTCATACGCCACTTCCAATATAAATACGGTTCAACAATTTGCACTATTCACCATGTCTTCATGTCCTGGAAACATCTCGTGTATGTTAAAAGAGCTGAAGCCATCTGAACGTCACTTTTCGCTTTTTCTTGTGTCTGGCCCTACCCACATGATAACCTTCGCCAAAAACTGGTGCCCTTAATTTACCTCGACTAAGTGATGGGATTCAGTTTTCACCCCAGACCCCTCCGGTGGATGTGATTCTCGATGACTTTTCGCGAATGCAAATGTCAGATTCTTAAGCCGCTTGAGCTCTATAAGCTGGCTCATCTGTCGAAGCGGCTTATGAACACAGATGACACACTGTTTCTGGGATTGAAAGACCGAATAAAGACGTTCTAGAAATGAAAAACCTAAGAAACTTTCGAACATGTGACAAAACATACGTCTTCTATCAACTCATGAACCTCACCAAAAAATCTTTGATTGCTTGTTCATCTTTTTCTTTTGTTTAATATAATTTTCCTATCATACAATGGAATAGTCTTAAATTCTTTGTTTTCTTGTTTCCCAATGAGACATAATCCTAACTGAATCCTTCCTGTGTAAACTTTATTCGTCAGACTGTCTAGGTGCTCATTGCGCTTGCCAAAGTCTCGAAGGGCAAAAAGAATATCACGGTACTTTAGAAGCGTATGATAGACACCAAGGTAAGGTAGTACGATCATATGATCAAGTTTTTCTCGTATGACCAATCTTTTCTCGTAGAAGGTATTTCTGTGAAGGATGCTAAATGGTTCTCTATTTCCCAGTAGAGCTATGCAAAGGCTCTGTTGCGACTGTCTTTTATCACCCAGAATACGCCACGGTGTTAGGAGCTATTCAACCTCCGATCTTGACATTTGAACCTTACCCTTATCAAGCGATCAAGGACCTGAATATAATCTTACCCAGTCAATGTGACAATTTTTTTTCTGACGAGAAATTTCACCAAAGTGAATCGAGTGGTAAGTAAAGACTTATCCTTTGGGTTTTGAGGTATCAAGTTTTTTGCTATGTCTTGAAGTCAGCTTCTGAGGAATTTCTCACCTTCTCATCAGAATCAGATCACAGTTCATCTGGTACCGTAGTACCTGTTAAGGAGGAAGGGACTTCAAATGGTAAGACCCTTTGAATCGCAACGATTGTAGGTAAATTTTAGAATGTTAATGCTTTGATACAATTGACATACATACAGGTATGCTTACTTCTAGAAGGTAAAGATCTCTAATCTGTATATCTTGGTTAGAAATCTGACGAGACAGTTTGATTATTTGTCTTGGTGATTTTCTTTGATCTTAGTGGTAAGTGTGGTCAACCAAAGTACCCAATCGACGAATTCCCACTTGGAAGAGGTACACCTCCACAAGGTACAATAGTTTATCCTCCATTGGTCAAAGTCAAGGTACTTAATGGTATAATTGTTCCAAGCATGTCATGAAGACTTTCAAGTTAATCTGTCGCTTGTCATACATTTAGGGTCCTTTACTTGATTACCATGGCGTTCAAATGTTTTTTGAAAAGTCAGGAGGAGCAGGATCAATCCCAAGTTTAAACAAGAGATAATTCTCCTTCCGAAACTTCGAAAATTGTATTACTTTAAACTATATCTGTGTATGATTAGATTCATGTTATTTCGTATCTTACTACCCAATGGAAAGCGATTAAACACACCTTTGCTTTAGTCTTGTAATATTTGTTTTCCTTGGTGATCAACAATGGAAACAGTGATATTGTGTAACTTTTGGGATATGGTTTTCGTTATTTCACTTTGTCAGGATAACCAGCGTGTAAGATTAATCAGGCTCTTTACAACTCAATGAGGGACAAATGACTCTCTGCAAATACAAAACGTCCTCTCAGTGTATATCTGTGTCAACCCCAGTTGAGAACTTTTTGACCATCATCGACGACGCAGGAACAAAAAAAAAGAAATGCAATTATATTCCAGTAAACTGATAGAAAAAAATAGCATCTACCAATGGTTTTGCAGCCTCTTCTTGATTTCACGTTTAAACTGAAGCGATTGTCAAGGAGCCGCATTCCGAGCCAAGAAAATGATATGCAAATCACCCTACTTGACTATTGTAAGGTAGAAATATTGGAGCTGATAATGTCGAGCAATTCAAGAATGCAGAGCAGGAACCTTATCCCTGATCCAGCTGGGCTTGATATAACTACAAGTACGAGCAAAAGTCGCGGAGGTATGAACCTAGCAAACAAAACCAGGTCAAGACCGAGGTTGAATGGTAGGAAAGTCATTTGGGAACTTACAAGTTCATGGTAAATGAAAGCTTCTACTGCTTTACCGTGAAGACTAGAAGAAGGGTGAATCTTGATTTTCTGAGTCATCAAAAAGAAAATCAAGATACATGAACACAGGCAAGTTAGACTTCGAGCTGTATTGAAACCTGCTTTCAATGGCATTCTTCACGTACGATCTTGGTTACGGGGTTTAGGTAAGTCCGGTCTTGCTGTCTGACGGCGATGTTAGTAGATAAGCCTGTGAGCAGACTAGTCAAGAGCGGTTCAGAGTTCCCTTCTCCGTTATTTGATCGATTGTAATCACTAGTAGATTTTGACCAATCTAAGTCGGCGCGTTTACACCGTTCTCTAAGTTGCTGACGAGATTTGAGAACATTAGTCATGGATTTATAATTGATGTGATGAGTTCGACACCATGCTTTGATCTCGCCGCGATTTTGTTCAGTACCACTATCACTCAATAAGCTCTCAAAACTGCGAAGTATATTTAACAGAAAAATATGATCGCCATCGCGATGCAAAAATCTTCTGCGGACTTCTTGCGCCTGCTCACGTGTTGCCGAAGTGTTGATTAATAAGGTATCATGATGTTCAAGTAACGCTAGGAGATCTATCATATCTTGTGCGCATTCATTTTCGAATGAAGCCAGCAAGCACCTAGCCTGAGGGGGATCTAAAGGAAGTTTCGCCATTTGACGTCCCAGAGCCGATAGTTTTCCTGTGGAATTGACAGCACCCAGAAAGACTAGATGTAGGAGAGCAAACTTCACTTGATTGAATGATGGAAGGCATTAGCACATACCGCCGATGAAGAGGTAGAAAAGCCGAGCTCACGATCACCGGTGTCTGGCGGATCCATGAAATCAAATTTGAATACGTCTGACACCCCGCTTGCTAGGAGATGCAAGACAGCAAAGGATAAGCTACACCGTTTGATTTCTGGCTCAGTGATTTTCGCAAACGTTTCAAATTGCTCCTCCGGATACAAACGCCAACATTTTCCAGGCGACTGATGAACTTAAAAAGATCAATGTACGGCAGCCTCTCAGGTATTTGGTAAAGACTCACCTCTCGTCCTGCACGTCCACTCCTCTGATCAGCCGAAGATTGACTGATGGGTTCTGCTCGTAATTCTTCCACGCCAGCAAGGCTGTGATGTCGTTTGATTTTTGCAATTCCGGCGTCAATGACGTAGGAGACCCCAGGAATGGTGATTGAAGTCTCAGCAACGTTTGTGGCTAGGATAAATTTACGTGTATGAGGTGGGGTTTTGACAAAAACTTGCTGTTGCTGTGCGGTTGGTAGTTTGGCATAAAGTGGGCATATCATTATCTGCCATGGTCAGGACATCGATGGGACATCAAATTCAGAAAACATCAGTTTCGATATCAGATCGATAATATATGACAGATCATCAAATCACCTGTGTCATCGAAGGCAAAAGGTCCTTCGCATAAAGCATCAGCTGGGATTGCATACTCTCGATATCTTCCTGACCTGTGGTTGAGATGGACAGGCAAATCATTTGTTGAATTAGTTGAATTATGCGAGCAAAGATGCGATACAAAGCAGCTCACCTGCAAGGAAGACAAGGACGTCTCCCGGTGGCTGATTTTTGTGTATCTGTAGCGAAGTTTTCACGGCAGCTTCGATATAATCAGTTTGTGGCTCTTTGCTAAAGTAAATCGTTACTGGATGTTGTCGGCCCTGGATGTATATGACTTTTGCGCTGAAAAAACAAACACTCCATAACTTCAGTGGAATGAATTTCTGACCTGTAGACAAATGCCGTGATGCAGCATCTAAAAGAAATTGCACGCAACTTGTCGAAGAACTCGGCAAACCGCTGGGCGTCCAATGTAGCACTCATGACGATGATCTTCAATGGGCGTGCAGGGCAGCCTGCTCCGGCACCATTGCCTTTGGTGGGAAAATTCAACTTCCTTTCAGCCATTTCCTTACGCGTGCTTTGTATACTCTTCATAAACCCCATAAGCATATCAGTCCTTAGCGAGCGTTCATGAACTTCATCCAGGATAACGACATCGTATGTAGACAAAAGTTCATCAGATAATAATTCTTGCAATAGTGTACCATCTGTGACGTATTTTAAAGCTGTCGCTGAGTTACTGCAATCGTCGAACCTCACAGTGTATCCCACTTGACTTCCTAATTCACATCCCATCTCTTCTGAAACTCTGGTAGCCAGCGAAATAGCAGCAACCCTTCTAGGCTGTGTCACGACAACTCTGATCTTCCGTTTCATGTTCGTGAGTTCGCGATATCCGTGTCCTAGGATATATTGTGGGATCTGAGTCGTCTTCCCGCATCCTGTTTCACCCAGGACTACAATTGTATCGTTCTCGTGAATCTCTTTGAGGATGGCTTCCTTACCTATGAACAGAACGATTTGTCAGATGGTCATCTTCGGTAAATGATAAAATCCCCAAATAAAGCTATTTCACCTGCGTAAACTGGCAATGCTTGCTGTACCAATGCCAATGCGTCGGCTTTTGCTTGTCTGATTTGCTTGTTAGAATCATTCTTCAAATGTCGAGGTTTCTTTTTTCGAGGACCAGTTGAATTGTTTAGACTATCTGAATCATCGTCTGAATTTGAACCACTAAACCGAATCACTTTAGGTGGCTTGGTCTGAAATATTTTCCTTTAATCAGTGATTTGTATGTAATAATCTTCAAAGGTATTAAAATCTTGAAGCTTACCTGGGAAGTCGCCATTTGAAGTTCAGGTACTCGCAAACCCATGTATCGGTTTCTTGGAGATTTCAAGTGATGGTAAACTAAAACTTATCTGGTCGTTGATTAATCGTCGTTGAAGAAAAGGGGTACATTGGACTTTCGTACTTTGGCTGATAATTCTCAGAACTGACCTGATAAAATTCATTACAAGCATCATACAGCCTGGGCACTATGCTTGTATGCACAAATCTACATTACCACAAGTCCAACATCAACCTTTACATGTCATTCACTGCGGACAACGTGACCGGGGGCCCTCCCACTTCCATGGGTTATTACAACCCCCTCAGACCTGTGATTCTCTGAGGTACCGTGTGGCTAAGCCTGCCCTCCCACCCACCTCGTACCACCTCAACATATCACCGATCGACCAACTCCACAAGCAAGACACGATCCATCTCAGCACACCCTTTCTTCCGTCATATCTAGTGTTGAAGTGTTTATTTCAACAGCCAACATGCTCGTCACCGAGTTTGCTACTCGACTCACAGAACATCACCCTCGACTAGCGACTCGCCTGACCATCACTGCCCTCGCGAAATTCGTCAATCTTGCTAGCGAGGTGTATAACCGCGCTGACGAAGCACTGAGCTTTACATCTAGTGACACCAGACTGCTTCCCTTCCTGAGGCTCGCCTTAAAACTGACGATCGAAGAATGCGACTACAACTCATTATGGACGTTATTGTTTCCTTCGATTCCATTTGCTCACATAAATCCCGCCAACCTGATACGCCTGCATGGTCTCGATGAGGACCTTAAAAAAAACAAAGTCCACGAGGTTTACCTCACCCCGCCCACCCATACCTGCTTAGTCTGTGATCAACCTTCCGGACGACAACTCCGACAACGGCCTCGAATCGACGGTTACATGTATGACATAGATGGTATCCACTCTGCCGAGTTCCACACCTGGGCCTGTTTAGGTATGTTTGATTGCACGCTTTGACTCATGGGAATCTAATATCACACATTCTCCAGCAACTGACCGATTGCACTTGAATTTGATGTTCCAGATTGTGGCACTTACTACCGGCCATCCTATTACAGCAACAAAACAACCAAGCTGAGAGTTTACTACACAAAAACTCAGGGCGCCCATCCGCATCAATTTCAAGTTCACTGCCACTTCGCAATGACTCATCGGCTTGTGATGTCCTTTCGCCAATCCCAGATGTTAGCACAGTGAGTCCTACATGTTTATCGCATACATTTTTAAAGATTGTAGCTGAATCCATCTCATATTCCTTCCTAAGCATATCTAACTTCAATCTTGTCAATTTGTTCAACCTCACCCATTTCAAGCACCAGACCGTGCCAACACACTCAGGCGATCAATCTATCCCGAAAATATCGCAAGAGGTCGCTCGCGATGGTGTCGACATTTTCAGCTTACTACGACGCTCCGAGGCACGTGGATCTGTACTTTACGTAAGCGCCGACGGAAAGGATGCCGACCGGTTATTACCTGCGATGGTTCGAGAACTCTACCACATCGCCAATCATGGATCATCACACCGAGACCATTTCTGCTCACTGTGTGTCTGCACTGCCCCAATTCAACTTGGAGGAAAAGAAGCAGTCAAAAGTCAGTGTCTCCCCATGATTGACTTCGTGCTTCGTAATTTTAATGAACTTTTGACTGATTTACCTCAGTTATCCAAGCGGTTGTCACGGATGGACTTACAATAGGTCACTGGCGCTGCACTGCGTCATCAGTGCAGCTTCAGGTCCTCGCTCATCGCGCTGGGGCGCCTCCTCCAAATGGCCCGTGTCTCAACACCTTACCCAAAGTCACCTCGAGATTCTGCACCGAGCATGAGATAGCTTTGAAGGGTTGGTGTGTGGCCCAACCATGTACTGACCTTGCAGAACCTAATTCAGAAACGTGTCAAAACAAAAATCACAAAATTGCTTGGACTGAATTTAAAGCTTTAAAGAACAAAAAATTTTCACTTAAGTCGATGCTCAACCGCCCTGGGTCCAACCTACCATCTGATCCGTCTGTACACCTTCATCCCGACACTGCCGAGCTGGTCGATTTGGAAAGCCTCCACCAAGCCGACAAGGCTGACCGCCAACACGAGTCCGCCCGTGATGGTGGCGAAGCTGCACCCAAAGGAAGCCCAGTCTTGAGCCGCTCCCGCACCCACAATGATCAACTCATTGTAGGTACGTGCGGAATCATATTGTCTAGGCGAACTTTCTACAATGCAGAAGCACCCAGTGCTCTGAGAGTTAGTTGTTTTTTTGTTCTTCTGTACCGTTTGAAACTCTTCCATCCACTGATATATTTATTTTTCCCTTGAAGGACTACCTTGTCGAAGCTTTCCCTGAAGGCCTGCCAGAGGTGATCTTTTACGACAACGCCTGCAACCTTTTACGAGTGATCCATAACGGGGACAAGGACCCCGCCCCTTTTGAACACACTGTAATCCCGGTGGACCCTTTCCATCATCGCTCTCATAAAGAGAGCGATACATTCTGTCAAATGTATACTGACCCAAAAAAATTTCCAGAGCTGCAAGAGAATGGCTCTTGGATCTTTAATGCATCCACTGGGGAGTTGAGTAATATATGGTATGGTGGCTTTGCATCTATGTGTCGAAACATGCAAGCCACTCGGTATGAGTTTTTTTTGGAGGAGATGGTGGAATTTCGCAACTTGTGGCTGAGTGATGCATTGGCTGCCCGGCCAACCTTGCAGTATATAGGTATACAAAAATTGTAATAGGAAGGTGCGCCTTGATTTTTTTATTCTGAAACCGCCACCGCACTGAATAAACCTCTTTCACATTTTATATAGTGATCCAAGCCTGTGCGATAAAGCTTGGATGGTCGCTTCCACTGATTCTTTTGTCCTCCATCAGGTTGTGTTTTTTGTAATCCAATGGCTATTCCTCTGGGACTTGGCATTTGGGGATAAAAACGAAACGTGTTCATTTATATAATGCAAAACAATTGAAGTGCTCAAAACCTATTCAATTTTGAGCACACCTTAATGCGAATCCAGGTTTGTTTGTGGCGTCATCTCCGAGGCCAGAACAGAGCTTCCATCTGTATATTGTGGTTGCCTTGGAACGTCGCGCCCACCGGTCCAGTGTATTATCACACAGTGTATGCTTGCCTCACTTGTTTCACATGAGTTTGGTAAATAATTAATGTGATATATAGTTGAGGTGGTTTTGACATGGATTAACTTAGAGAGAACATTCTGGTTGGGGTTTGCACTGACTATGCTGAATCACATGGTACCAGATGTCTAGGTTTGGTGTGGCGAAATCAAATGGAACCATGGCTTAACTAAAAGGTATGCCTCGCTTTCTTTTCTATTGGATGGATCATGAATCATAATTCCAAATGATCCATATCACCTGGTTCTGGGTTTAGACTATTCCACTTGGCATATTCACATTTGATTGACAGCGATCGGGACAGTAGCACACATATCAGGTAAGATAATGCTTTATAAGGTTAATCAAGTGTATTTGATGGTGGATCAAAGAAAGTCAACGTGTTAGGCACCTTCAAAACCAAAACGATCCATACAATCACAATCAGACAGTACAAGCGACATGGACAGGTCCCGCCCCCGCGACCTGCGTCCACCAAGCACACCGATCAATAGCGGCAAACACGCACATGGTGGAACTTTCCACATTAGAGCATCGTGACCCAAACTACTGTCAAAATAAAAGGTTCGTGATCTTTTGTTGGTTTCATGATGCTCCGGCTTGCTTCAGGAAGAACAGCCCTTAGCCGGATCTCTGGGCGTTCTCCGCATGCATTCAAGGCACCCGGATGTGCTTCTGAATGCATGAAGCAGGCAGGAAATCGAGGAGATTATGGCATCCAGCTGACCCAAGTCTTGATATGTTGTTTGATCGTTTTCGCATACGGTGGTCGATCGATCCACCCTCCAACTAAAGCTTTCTCAATCACTCATGCGCACCAACCCGCACCAAATTCCAGTGGCGGATCGTTTAATTGCGAACTTGGTATTGCATCACCCGGTTGGCGCCCATCCTTGCGTTGGGAAACATCAGAATACCGAAATAAAAGGGCAACCTCAGATTGCGATTAATCTCCTCCTTGATTAATCTTACGGTTAAGCCTGTGGAAGAACTTCCAAGGAAGATATGAATGGAATGGTTAGCTCAATTTCATCATCATTCTCGACGATGTATCGGCCGTTTTTGCAGGGTGAGTGCATACAATACGATACGATTGTATGCGATAGGATACGATTGTATCGTATTGGATGCTTGAATCTAATGACTGCAAGGTTTTGCTTTAGGAGCACGGTCTGTTAAAGTCTCGGAAACCAAAACAGATAATATTGTTTTTTCAATATTATTAACTGAAATAGAGACCTTTTGTGTGAAGAGTAGATCCGTTCAAACGATGAAGCTGATTTGAATTGGCATTGTGGGTCTCTTCGAAGTCAATCGAAGAGTCTTGTTTTGTTATAGATCCTTCGGAAGCATAACAAAACATGCCCACATCTTCATCAAATCATTCAAGACTACGTTAAGCGACCATCTGAAAATGGAATATCTCAATGCCAACGGGAAACAAGGACGGGGCATACTGAATTACTGAATCGGTTGCACACAAGAGGGGATTCAATTTAATCAAGAAAGTGAAGCCAAGAGAGCAAGACAGCGTAATGCTCTCTTTCGTTTTGGAACTTTGAAAAGGAGTTTTGTTTATTCAGATGTAGTTTGACTTGATAGTCATACTGCATCTGAAGACCACTACATGCTTACAACGCTTGCTGAATCGGAGTACTTAGTGAGCCTTCATGCTGACCCAGATCCGTTTGATTATGATTTTCATACATCGGCTTTTCTGATGTTTGCTATGAAAAACCCCCTTGGGGTTTTAATCCAGGATACCTCATACCCAAACGTCTAAGATGTTGATGATAGGATTGTCTCCTTGATACAGTGAAGCGCAACGAACACGAATACTGGTGTTCAATAAGTTAGAGGATTGCCGCCATCCTGAAATAGTTACTGTTGATCAAAGGTGGATAAGCCAAAGCAAACCATGTGTGCTATTCAATCATCAGTCTGAAAGCATCTGATCCACGTAGCACCTGGGGGCTCTGGCTTTAAACAAGAGGCGTGTGCGGTTGGGTAGGTAGGTACATGGGTATATGGCAACGGTGGTGTGACCTATTTGGTATTACACATCCCACGACCTGGGTGATGGGGTCAGTAGGGTGTTGGAGGGAAATTTTGTTAAATGAACACTTATTGATAAATGCAAAGTACAACTTTTTTTTGTCTCGATTTAAAATGCAGTAAATTTTGCATTCAGGAACATACAAATGTTATTCAAGTGTTCCAATTCTGTGTGATGGTATTTGTTTCCATGTAAGAGTAAAAGTAAAATCATATGATGTTTTGGTGAAGCCAAAACATTCTTCTGGTTCTACCAACATGGGATCAGGAGTGAGTGCCAAGATGTGATATTATAATCACCTACAACCAAAGAAAAGAATCTAACAAAATTCACACAACACATTTTTTCTAGAGAGGACCTGGAAATCATTTCAAACAAACACACCAAGGGCCAGTACACGAACAACTAAATGAACACTTAACAAGTAATGGTAAAGATCAAAGTATTTGTATTTTGATACCATTGAGATGCAGTAACAGTAAATTTTTCATTCAGGAACAAACAAATGTTATTCAAGTGTTCCTGAAAGGTGGTGATGGTATTTCATCATCATGTAATAGTAAAATCATATAATGTTTTGGTGCAGCCAAAAAGTCTTCTGATTCTATACCAACATGGGATCAGGAATTCCAAGATGTGATATTATCGTGACCTACAACCAAAAACTTGAAAACTCTTTCAAGTGTCCTGAAAAACAAAGACAAGAAACCACTTTCTATTTCTACAGTGGGTCGAAGTCATTTCAAACAAACACACAGAGGGCCAGTTTTGCAACAAACGTCCAAAACAAACATAAACATGCAAGAACTTTCAACATTCAATCTTATGCTGATCCTTCGGCCGAGTAGAAAGGTGGCGGTGCAATCAAACCAACCTCCTTACATAGGCTTTCACACATGTGGTTAGACGCAAATAGCTGCAATGCAGCGGTACCCGGGTTGTCGAGAAACCAACCGCGTCTATGCAATATTGAAGAGATACCAAATCATGACGAGTTAGGGAGTGGGGTGGTTTGTACAGACACTTGTATGAAATAGGTGGAACTTACGCGGTGTCCATAATGCTCAGCTCCGAAATGATTCCATTGGAACCACGGAAACCACATATCAGACCTAATCGACCATGATATTCGTACGTCCAGTGAGTGAAACAGTGGAGGAGGCTGCCTAAGAACCCTGGGGCACGATGTTGAGGGCCGAACTGACAATCGGAAGTGATGTACTCCGGAGACTCTACTGGTTCGCGCAGATTGAACCAGGAGTGGTTGCGACTGGCAGCGTGCGCCTTACGCAAAACAACATTTTGAACAACCTGAATGGAGCAAGTGAGGAGACAAAAAGGGTCAGTGTATGTAGTGTCCCGTGTTTGCACATGATGTAGAAAGGACCTACCCGCAAACTATTCAAGATGGTTCGTTGGGAAACCGTTAACATTCCACGCTGTTGAACAATGGTCTTGAATTTTTGCAGTAAACAGTCTGCGTGGGTAAGACATTGAGCAAACTGCAGATGATCCCCAATATTGTTTTTCGATTGCTCTAAAGCCATAGCCTCAAGAATGATCCGTGAAAAACCTTGACGCCAAACAGCAGGGTGTGTGTTGCGACCATCATAACAGGTCCAGATATGATCGTTGACCGAGACTTTCACGTGGTAGAATCCCCATTTGTAGCTATCCACATCGGTCCAAGTGACTCCTTTACCCATGCGTCGTTCATAGCCAAAAACCAGGTCCCGAGAATCATCTTTGGGTTCGTCAAACGGTAACGCCTGCCAACCTAGTTCTTCGGAGTCGGTCAGATATAAAGCAGGGGACGCTGGGGAGTGATGGGGATGTCAAGTCAGCACCAATACGGCCAAAGCATAGCTAGAGAGAAACTGACCAAACCCTAAAGACTGCGCGAGATGTAACATTGTGGATGAGATGTAATGGAAGCAACTTCACAAAGTTGTACTGACTCGAAGAAAAAGGGAAGAAGAATTTGAGATGAGAGATCGTCTCAAATGCAAAGACAGATGAGAGGCCAGAGGGATAGATGGAGGAAGATATTGGAGTTCCACCAAAACCTCGAATATTTATGGGCTCCAGCGCACCTCATGCCACAGTAAGCAAACCAGACATGAGGTCAGGGTCAAGGGGGGGTCCGCAACATTTGCAGCAACATAATATGTATTGCATAGGCAGGCTTGTGGGGAAAAGCCAAAGTAAATCGAACCTGTACCCTATGTAATGACAAACACAAATGGCAAGAAAGACTGAGTAAGAAAAGGAAAAAGCAACTGTTGTGAGCAGCTGAGGTCTGTTTTGATGAATAACGCCCTGAGGGTAGGTGTGGTGTATTGGTCGAATGTTTTGCTTCACTTGCCACGACAAGGGCCATCGATGCCACGTTTGGGGGCCACAGCGACGACGGGTCCTTTCAGGCGACTGACTGCGTTGAACTCCTCCTGAAAATGACGCCGCGCTCGACTGACCGTGACATTCTGTGGGTTGATTTCACCTCCGTCTGGCCAACCCTTAAGCCAATTCATCATTCGCACATAGCCGGTGTGTTTGACCCAGGCAAAATAGCGGTAAGCTGTGGGCTCGTGCAACTCGTGCATACTTCCAAAAGTCACCTTCCACTGGGGGATGCGAATGCCACGCTGGGATGCGGACTGGTACCATTCAAGGACCGATGAAAACAATACATCGTCGCCTGGCCACTCTCGTAATGACGTTGTTACCTGCGGTTGATGTATGTCGTTATTCAAGGGTGGCTTGACATCAATCTGCGCAAAAAAAGGTGTTATCGTTCGCTCATGTGTGAAAGCTGAGGTTGTGAAGGTGGCTACATACCTCTTCTTTGTTGCTAGGCAAAGCTAATAGGCTTTCAGGGGTGGAAGGGCGTGTGGCGGTTGGACTGGATGATGACAAGTTCCGTGGAGTTTCTGATTCCGTGTCCAAGTCATCAAGAAAACATATGGGGTCCAAAGAAGACCCATATGTTTTCTGCGATGTTGTTGGTTTGGCCGAGGCTTGAATCACAGGTGATTTGTTGACTATGGTGGCAGTGGTTTCGGTTGATTCCGTTGGGACTTTAGGTATGCTTGGTTTGCCCATACCAAGCCCTTCTAAGGCATCTTGAAGCTCATGAGCTAACGCTAATCGTTGGCTGGGAACACAGATAATAAGGTTTTGCAAAGTGTCGATGTATCTGTGTGGCAGTGTCACAGGAACCTCGCGCTTCAAGAAGATTGGGATGAACAGCAGCTGGTCAGCCCGTGCTCTCATACATCTGTTACATAATCTGCGTACCCAATTTTTTATATCTTTGTCCCATATGAGCAGGCTGCCATCCCACTGCGCACCGGCTGCCTCTTTCGCCTGGCGTACAAGCGAGGAGCAATGATCGAGAGTGGCCACTGGCCAAGTGGGAAATATGTGCGAGATCACTGGAGTGCGAGGTTCCTGAAAAGATCGTACACGTCAGTCCATCAGTAAAATGTATAAGTCGATGTGAAAGTGACTTACGTTGGTAACCAGGTGAAGGCTGATCACCTTACCTTTCACCGCTGAAGGTGCTGAAGCTTGGGAGGCCCGCTTGTGGGCTTCCGCTTGGGCCTGTCGAGCTCTTTCGAGCACCAAGGCACTGTCATCGTCAAGGAGGCGTCCTACTCGGTGAATGCTTTGGGAGCACTGAGGGATGACCCGGGGCCTCTTTGCTTTAGGTAAATCGGCAGGAGGTGACGGATGATGGTGACCCGGTGGAGTCGCAAGTAAGTTGGCAGGAGGAGCCATATTATCGCCACTGGGTGGAGACGTAGCTTGGGCAGCTTGTCGAGTGGTGGTGGTAGACGTAGCAGATTTGGTTCGATGGACATAGCAGGCCCCCGGTGGTCCGTAGGCATTGCAGCACTGGGAGCAGAGTGAAGATGGAGTCAGATTGGATATGTATACCATGACGAAAAGGACTATCATACTGACCGATTTGCAATATCGTAATGTACATCCAACGTGTCCCCATTTTTTATGTTTACCAGAAGTCGGGCCTTGGCCTGAGCGAGCACACTCAATCGATGGAGGTCCGCGTTTCGGCTGAGTTGATGTGGAGCTTGTGGCGTGATGAGCCCTGTTGCTGGTTCTCGCCGGTACCACAGCTCCCTGGAGGTTCACGGGAGGGCCATGTGCAGAACGGTCGAAGGCGATAGGATATTTCTGACCAGCGTTGATCAAGGCGATCTCGTGATTCAGCTGGTTCAGTTTGAAGGTGCGGTAGTAATGCTTGACCGTTTCACACTTGCCCAGTAATAATTTAAACGTCAGGCTCACGCTTTGCCTTGTGGGTGAAATGATAGAGACGAGAAAAAGGGAAAACGCAAAAGGACTCACCCTCACTTTGATGGAATCCTCCCCACCCGGGAAATGCACAAGTGATCTGTTATTCGAAGGTGGACAGTTTGGACACGACAGACCAACCTGCCCTCCAAGCGCTGGGTTGGGTAGAGGTAGATGGTTGTGCGGCGGCACTCGTCGATAGTTTCTACCAATGTAAGGGCTGTCCGGCATGTTGTAGTGATGGGAGGCCTGGGAGGAATAGACCCCTTCGTGATGGGGGGGACATTTTAAAAGCGATGTAATGATGTGTGATTGTGAAAAAAAAATTTGTGTTTCATCTACAAAAAAGGTTGAGGTGACGAAGTTGGCGAAGAAGTGAAAAAAGGACCTCCTTTCCTGTCACAGGTATGGTTTGGGAGAGGTACAATGGTCGGCCAGATGGCACGTAGGGCCCTGTGCGCAGCACGGACCGGGTCCTGGTACCAGGTACAGAGCTATGCCTATACCAGGCAATGTCTATACGGAGGGCTGTATTATCACATGATAATTATCAGAAGGAATCCGAAAGTCCGATGCTCCCAAGAAAAGATTGGCTCAAACTTTCGGCTCAAACTTCAGACACAGATTGTGAAAATTTGGTGTATGTAATTGTAGGATATGTAAAAGGTCATATGCAAACTTAGATGAGCTGTAACAAAAGCATGACCGGACATACCTTGATTCTCCCATACCAAATCCCATAAATGACATCTGGTCAACAAAACTTGGATCCTCCTTCAATGATATCTTTATAGTACAAGATATTCTCTAAAATCTTTGGCAAATTGTTCTTCCAAATTTTCAAATTGAGGATTTCTTGTCATCAAAGGAGTTGTGAACTTCACACAGAAAATTACATGTCCAGATTTGATGAGATTACTAGTAAGTGAAGCTTGGACACAAGGCTATCAGAGGCTTTTGCTCTGCATTTTGGAACTCAATAGTGAGCCAGATATATTACACTATTCTGACAGAAACTTGGTGGTTAGCCTAGCTCTGGGCTCCTGTAATTAATATCCTTGTGATGGCTATCAAGTCAAGAATGGGGTCTGAGATGCTTGAGAGCATAGACTACATAGATAGCCTGTTATACAGGGATCACAATCAATTTATGTTTTTGAAGGATAACTGCCTGAATCCTGGTATGGAAATCACTGATCATATGCAACACCATCAACATATCATTCATTTATGTTTTCCATTGCTTACATCCCCCATGCATTCATACCACACCAGAGTACGGTGGGGTTTGGGGTCAAAAACAACACCACATATGTTTTTTATTATATTAGCTCATTTCAACCTCTCAAACTACATTCTATACTAGATGAGCTGATTGCATTTGGTGGTGTGGTCCAATGATGATCGAACACATAGTCATTTGTGGTGATTGGTCACATATTTGTTTGTGGGAATGAGGCCAGTAAGTTGATTTTAGTCATATGCAGACTTTTCAGGGACAGTGTGAACCACAAAGTTGACCAATCAAAAGCTCCTTTCAGAAGTGATGAGGCAATGCTGCCACAAACCATTGACTGTGTGCGCTTGGAGAAAAATATGTACCAGCTTTCTCAGAGAATTCAAGGGGGGATACAGCATGCAAGTGTTTGCAAAACAAGCACATGTGACTTGAGTTACCCAATGCAGCCCAACACAGCAGTTGCTACTTGCTCATCTGTATAGGACATGAGAACATTCAGTATATGGTGTCAGAGCATCAGCACTGGGACCTTGTAAAATGGCAAATACATGCCATTTTACAAACCTGTGAGATTAAACATGAGGCACCGGACCTCACCGGACCTTATAAATGACCTGTATGATTTACGCGTTGTGTAAAATCCTGTAAAATCATCCCTCTGCTGTCCATTAATGGACTGCAGCATATATTCCAAAAATCAACCAAACAGGACCAAACATCAAACTTTACACCAATCTTCTCTATCCAACACCCTACTGTTGTAGTCAGTTCTCACGCCTACATGGCACGACCGCTGTAGAACTTAAAGCTCAACAAGAGCTTTACAGAGCTTAAAGAGGGATAATCTACTAATATAACTAACTAGTAGAAGTTGTCTAAGACTGCCTCTTTGAAAGAATCAACACGGGGTTTTGCTGAATTCTTTGGGATAAGGCACCAGAGAAATTTGTCTCAATACTTAATTCAAGTATTATTCCCGTGATTTTTAGAAATAAAGAAATCTCAACACTATTGTAGTGTTATTCCAATCTGAGCACAACAAAAACACAACTTTAATTACTAGCAAAAGCAACAATCAGTTTGATTGTTATTCCAATGAAGACTTGTAGTCTTATCACACGTAAAGAAATCTCTCCTTTGATGTAAAGGGGCAATTTAGTGAACTTAGTACTGCTAAAGTAATTTAATAATGATTAAAAACACTCTAACAAAAGTATAAGATGAGTAAAAAGGGGAACAAAGGCCCGTAAAATCCTTAACAATAGTATATAACCTTCCAACACCCTTCAACAATGATCAACAACCTCCAAAAAACCTCAAAAACCGTCAAAATCAACAGAATTTCCTCCAATGTAATCATATGATGTCATTATTATTATTGTTTGTAATGATTTAAGGCGTGAATTTGATCAATTGATGTGAATAAATGATGAACAGATCTTCTTATGATGAATACAGGTGACTTTTTCCTAATATTCATAGCTGAAATCCATTTTTGGAATTACGAATTTTTTGTAAAGTTGTTCAATTTTGGATTACTATAGCTCATTTGATAGCCCTCGTGATTTTGATCATTTATCACCCCCATATCACCTATTTCTGATGTGTGATGAATAAGTTATTGAGTTGTAAAGATTGCAAAAATAAAGTTTTGTCATGTAAATGTCACATGTAACCTCCAAATTTGAAATTCACTCCAGTTTCTTTGTTACCTTATAACTTTTTCACTGTTCCTCCGCTACTAATGATTTACAGGTTGTACATTATGAAACCAATGATTCTGCGTCGAATGAACCATCACACACCTAATTCTGACAAGTTTTACCATATGTAATTAACTGAAAACCTCCAATTTTGATGAATTTTGACTATTTTCACGTCTAATGATGATTTTCCTTCTATCAAAAGATCATTCCACAGCACTCCAATCAATCACACAGCATTAAAATCATTCTGAAAAACTCTTGGCGCAATCAATCCATCAATGACATCACTACACAGGAATCAATACCATAGTACCCTTCTTCGAAATTTCCCTTTTCTTGAATAACTTCACACCTCCCTTATCAATCCTCATGATTAAAGTTGTTGCTGACTAATGTTATCCTTCTCTTTCCCAATAAGACCTTCCTGAACCAATATCTCTTCTAATAATAAGCTAAAAACCACTTTCCAAGCTTTCATACCCATATTTTCAAATTTTTCTCCAACTTTCTTAATATTCTTCTTCTTCTTTCATTCTTTTCATAACAGTTTCCATTCCTAAAGATCCAAACTAAATGTTCTTCTTCCTCAAATCTCCTCTTACTAATTCTCTTAATTTGATTTTCACTCTTATACTATTTTTATTGATCTTTTCAAATTCTTCTTTACTCTTAAATGTTCTTATCAATTGCTTATGTAAATATATGATTTGAAAGATAATGAAATGAAGATAATGAATCAACTTTGATAACCTTGATGACTAATAACTTCAATAATAATATTGCCTTTGACCAAAAACTCGAATTTTCACATAATTTTTAATTTTTTTGCTTAAGTAGAGATCTTGCTCACCACACCGCGGCGCAGTCCCGTTTGGTCTCCTATAAGAGCCAACAGCTCAGCATCAGCTCCGGTTCCACATCTTTCTCTTGTGGAACTCGGAGCTCTAGTAGCTGAGCCTGTCTCTCATAGGTACACAATGCATCATATCTTTCTCTTGTGGAACTCGGAGCTCTAGTAGCTGAGCCTGTCTCTTATAGGTTATGATCCCTTGCTCCCGTGCATCTCGCTGAGCATTGTAACCGTCGATTATTTCGACTCTGTCTGTTGATTTTTCAACTCTGTTACCGTCAAGTTTTTGACTCTGTCAATCTGTTCTCGTCGATTTTTCGACTCTGTCATCCATATCCCGTCTGTTACCGTTGACAATTTGTGTCAACCTAAGAGGTATAACGAACATACCCCATAGGATAACAAAACACATCAGCTAAAAAAAACATATACATGTAAATACCCTTATATTTATTCGAAGGAATCATACGAAACTTGCCCCTTTGAACATAACCCACACCTCCAACTCAAGTATCAAGAGTTAATCGCACCCTGACTACGCGTTTCAAGACAAGCCATTACAAATACTAAATGAAGGCTGTTTCAAATGCTCAGCCAGGGCTGGACCACTCAAACACCGAATAACCTAAGAATGACGAACGGACTAAGTGGTAATCAGGATTTAAATCACTACAACGACCAAACCAGTCAGGATCAGGACCCTTAATCAAAAACCGCATTCTGATCAAGGCAACAAAAGCTAGTCGACTAACGAACTCGCACTATCAGACCTATATAAACTCTGATCTAGAGCTGAAAGAGAAGGAGGATCATCTTATCTTTACACCAAACCATTATAACCACATTTAGAACTCAGAAAGCTTTTTATCTTTTTACTGAATCACCAGCTGCTCACTTTAGAACTAGAAATTATCCGTTACTTATCAGATAAAACTTCTTATTCTACTGCTCATCGTTGATTCATATAAATATGATCATCTTCTTTCCTATATCTAAACCCAGAGTGTTATTAGTGCTTCGCTAGACTAAGATCAAACTCCTCACTTCTAAAACCCCTCGTCCAATATATTTCCTAGACTCGTCACTTACATAAAGAGTTGAACTCTTGAACCAAAGTCACGACAGAGATTAGACCACCCTGGAATAAGTACGTTCGTGTACTTATTTGTAGAAGACCCTGATATATAGTACCAACTAAATCAGTGAGTACATTACTACTTTAGTCTTTTTAAAGAGTATTATTATTACCATCAGCTATAAGTAATTCATTTATAATAGACTAACGATCAATCTAGGCTCGAATTTACCTCAAAACTAAATAATACTTTAGTTTGAAACAAAGCCTCTACTTACTTTTTTCAGAACGTAAGTTCTTTTAATTCAGATTTGACTTGTAATCCAGCAAATTACAGACTCGAACTGACAATTTGACTCTGTTATCGTCAATCATATTTGACTCTGTTTTTATCTCATCTAAATAATTATCGGAAGAACTTCTCCAAGTACGCGACATACTCCACCCGTCACACGCAATCGAGGAAGCCAACAAGGCTCACCTTCTCAACGAGGATCACCGTCCATTCGTGGGTCATCATCTCGTGGATCTCGTGGCCGAGGCAACACTCGAGCTGGTGCGAAATCAGCACCACCAGGAATACCAACTAGTCAGCAAGGTGAACGTTCACCTACACTCTCGGTTGTTAATCAAAACAATCCAGTCGGCAATCTACACGATCAAAGCCCACCTTTTGCCGACAATGATCAGACCATGAGACGAGACCCAGAGAATCTGTTCTCCTCAACACCTGTTGATCATAGACAACCTCCTCCTCATCCTCACTTGACTCGGACTCTTCACCCGCAGCCAGTGAGACCCCACCCTTTATCGTTTGATAACTCTATTGGCAAATCTGCCGATCAAGTTGTACATACCAGATCCGACATCCAGCTCCGATTACAACGTCTCAACAAACTCGCTCCCACTGTTGAGAACTTTACCAAGACGATGGCAAAATTGGATAGTGATGCAACCAATTTCCATACTTGGTTAGAGGAAGCAAATGCCAATATTTATTTTTTGATTGGCAAGGCAGACTACCTTAACACTCCTTCAAACCCTTCAAATCAACTTCATCCTGACATTGATCACGCTGAAAACACCATAGTGTATCGTGTAGTTTATTACTCCGTAACGACAGATCTACGAACGGTAATACGCCGTGAACAGCAATCGTTCCTTGCTCACGACGCATATCTCACTTTGTCCAATCAATTTAACAAGGCAGGACGGTTGTCTCAACTAGCTACCTGGCAATCCATGATGAGTTCCCAAATGGACATATTCAAGACTTCACTCTCTGAACATCTTGAATCTTTGGATCGCTTGGTTGACACCCTAGATCAAGACGGTTTTGTTTGGACAAGAGACTCAGTTATGAGCTTGATTTATCAAGCCTCAATGCCTGACAAGCCAGAATTGAACTTTGACACCACTAACACAACTCTTGACTTGCGCTGGTCCTACGACAAACGTCCGTACACCAGTGCAGAGATCCAAGCCGCTTTACATACTACTCTGCTCAATCTTAAAAGACATCACACAGTGGACAATATTACGGGTTCAATCTTGTCTTTCAGTATTTCAAAAGAAGATTCGTATTGTCATTACTGTAGTAGAAAAGGTCATTGGAAAAACGAATGTCCCCGGAAGAAAGTTAATTTTACTCCGTCAAAAATTGAACAAAATAAAGATCCCTCCAATTCATCAGGCCCTTCAAGAGATGCTCATAAATCAAAAATATCCGCCACTCGAGTTCATTTTAATGAAGACACCGACGAATTCCCAATTGATCAACTCAAGAACTCAAATGTATATCTTTCCGCTGAAGGTGGCATTCAAACTATGTCACTCAGCATCGATCCAGCATCATTACCAGATGCTGATCAAGAAAGAACGATGATTGGCGTGCTGAGCAACAACGACAACTCGATGAATACAACTTTGATTTCCAAGCAGCTGCACAAGTTGACCAACAAGCTTACGACTCGTACATCGAGCAACTTCGACATGAAGAAGGCTCCGGTTGATTCCTTTCTTTCATGCATCGCTTCTATACAAACTTGTTTTTTTTTTCATCCTCTTTTGCTCGTTCTTGAGCTTGTTATTGTCCTGATCTTGTTATTTTTTTCTTTATTTCTATGATCTCAAAGCAAAAGCTCATCAATGTGATCAATTCACTAAAATCGGCTTATCATTTTAGACCGTTGTTTTTGAAGACTTGTTTTCTAACTCGTTTTTTTTTCTGGATCATTTTTTATCATGTTGATTCCTTCAAAACTTCCTTCCTACGTTGTTTAAAAAGGGGGAGCTGTTTTTTTTCTTGTTTTTTTTTCTTGTTTCTTTACACGGTTGTACGCGCCTTGTCGTGGGGGGGGGTGTTGTAGTCAGTTCTCACGCCTACGTGGCACAACCGCGGCACAGTCCCGTTCGGCCTCCTATAAGAGCCGACAGCTCAGCATCAGCTCCGGTTCCACATCTTTCTCTTGTGGAACTCGGAGCTCTAGTAGCTGAGCCTGTCTCTTATAGGTACGCAATGCATCATATCTTTCTCTTGTGGAACTCAGAGCTCTAGTAGCTGAGCCTGTCTCTTATACCTACAACCTCGCACGAGTCTTCTCGATTAGACCCAAAGCCGCAACCCGGTCATCAATATGATCTGTACATTTGTACATTTACACAGCATCGATTTCTTCAAATTTTTACAATCTTCCAGGAAAGTTGCAATACACCTGCTCTCCTGTCGCATATGTCAGATACGGGGACCTCTTTTACAAGGTCCCGGTGCTGATGCTCTCAGGACTATGTTGCCCAATGCATAATGTCAGACCAATGTTTGTCTGTATTTGTATGACCTTATTGTTGAAGTAATATTGAGCTTATTGTTGAAGTAATATTGAGTCACAAGTATTGTCTTTCAAAACCAACCTAACCACAAATGTATCAGATCATTGATTCTCCTATATACCTGTTGTACTGTCAAAATCCTGTCCTTCATCATTGAAGCTTTTGTTCACCAAACACCAGACCTCATCTAACATGTGTCCCTAGTGCTTGTTCACAATCTAAGACTGAGTTATTCTGTTTTGTTTTGTTTGCTCCTGATCAGGACTCTGAGAGTATTTTGATTATTGTATCAACCAATGCTTCTACGGCTCCTTTATTTCCCCACTGAATCATTCATGGGATGCTGGTATGACATAGTTCTTATAGTACCTACCAAATTTGTTCTACATTACCCCATTATAGCTGATTGATACTTTGTTTTCCTCAGCAACATGAGCCTCTGAGTCTTGATGGGAGGTTATATCTAGTTCTCCAATAACCCTGATGGGAGGAGATATATAAGCATTCACAAATGATTTAGAAATCAGCTTGATAGAAATAGCTCACTTTGATATGCAATCAACCCAACCCAATTGCCAAAAGTGCAAAAACCTCCCCACATTCGAAGCCTTCACTTGTGGGAATGAAAAATCCGCATCCAGGATATAATTTGGCTTGTGTTTCATTGAATTCTCATCCCTTCCCTGACCAATTTGAAGCCCATTTGATAACATTTGAAGCAAATCAGACAATGTACCACATCCTCTTTAATCTTTATCATTACTTCCAGCATGCTGCTCCGCGGTTTGGTTGACCAGTTATCTACATCAGACCGCCAAACATATGATACTCTGACATTGAGCCAACTTATTGCATTCTCAACCCTTTCAGCAGAGTTCTCAAAAAGGACTGCAGGCGTATATTTCATCACAGGATGTTCTTCAGTGATGCAATACCTGATGTATCCCTTCAACCAGATACGGTGACACGGTTGGATGTTGTGTGACAGTATATATGGGGTTGATTCCAGAAGGGGGATTATGTGTTTCCATGTCCCAAAGTGAACATATGAAATAGCTGCGTTGTAGCGGTGGGATCCACTCTGATCCACACGCATCCACTTGGACCCGCACGCACTTGCATGCTGAGTCATGACTCATGGAGCACTCTCAGCTTTGTTGCCAACAAACGTCATGTTGCATGTGCAGCATCACAGCGCGCAGCAAATCACCCATATTTGAACGTCATGTAAAGTTTCACTGTAAAGTTTCACTGTCAGCCTATTGATCAGGAAATGAGATGTTGACAGCTGAAGGTCAGAACTAAAGAAAGCCTTTCACCGTGAGAATTTCTCCAAGACTCGATCGCTTGGTACTTCTGCTTATGTACTGATCTATAGCTCGAACTTCTCAACAGACATACCTTGAAGAATTCGATCTTGTCGAACATTTTGGCTCACCCAGTTTTCACCTGAATCCGAAATTATGGCCAAAGAGATCGCAGACGAGATCGATTACGAAGGACTCAACAATGCAGGATTAGGGATCAATATGATTGCTGGAGGTTTAGCAGGAATTTCAGAACATGTGGTGATGTACCCAGTAGATAGTATCAAGGTGAGTAAACCCCATACACCCCTGCTGTGCATGGTTTTTCCTCCTTCAAGTCTCTTATGCATAGCAATCGATTTGGAAGAAAGGAGGTCTCTTTTAGAAGGGCTCCTTGATTTTGGGAACGTAAAGATGTCAATAAATTACCCTGCACACCTCTTCTTGGGCGCTCACAGACCCGAATGCAAATCATTAGCTCTACTACAAACGCTAATCCTGGTACATCAGCCACAAATGAAGCTTACAAGACGATGCGAGCCACTTTTAGGCAAATTACGACCAACGAAGGGACTCGGAGACTTTGGAAAGGTGTGGGATCTGTGGTCATGGGTGCCGGTCCGGCCCACGCTGTTTATTTTGGAACATATGAAATCATCAAGGAATCGCTCGGTGGCAATCAGCAGGGTCAGCAAATCTTGGCGACAGGTGTTGCGGGCTCAATGGCTACTATTGCAAGTGACGCATTAATGAACCCATTTGACGGTAAGCGTATATTCCTGACATTTGGTCTATCAAGACGCACACTAAAGATGTTGCTTCACTACGATTTGCTGGGAAACATCGATTCCGTATGTCACTGGCGTCTCGCGCTCTACCTCATGATACACTTCGTACATTAGTTATCAAGCAGCGCATGCAAGTACGCGGATCTCAATTCAAGACGGTCCTAGAAACTGCCCGCGCTGTTCATCAGAAGGAAGGACTGCGCGCATTCTACATGTAAGCCAACGCCAATCCAGACTAGTCACGTTTCAGGGGCTTTGAAATCCTGTTGTCACCATGACCCAACTAAATGACACGATAAGGGATTTTATGCTTATTTTGACTGCGTTTCTGTTTTGTATAGATCATATCCAACCACATTGACTATGACTGTTCCTTTCACCGCGGTCCAATTTTCAACATATGAAGAACTCAAACGACTCGCCAACCCTACAAATTCATATTCCCCTTTAACACATGTAGTCTGTGGTGGTATATCTGGTGCAGTCGGCGCTGCAATCACCACTCCATTAGATGTTTGCAAAACATTGTTACAAACAAAGGGTACCTCAACAGATCCGGCAATACGAAATTGCAAAGGTATGATCGAAGCCTTTAAACTTATCTATCGAACAACTGGTCTTGTTGGATTCAGTCGGGGTATCGTACCAAGAGTTTTGACTTTCATGCCAAGTAACGCATTATGTTGGCTATCATAGTGAGTTTTCTCAGTCACGCTCCTTGATCGACTTCTTTTATGACGACTTGCTGATGGGTTATCTTATTGTTTGTTGAACTTTCACAGCGAATTCTTCAAGGTTTTCTTTCTTGGCGAGCAGAAGGCTTGATCTGTTGTAAACCATACCCTCAGTGCTCGTTACCTCATCAAGGACACGGCTAATTTTAAAATTTCATGCAATCAGGCTTAACATGACATGCCCTCACTGATATCCAGTACACTGTGTATCTCGTACCAAACCCGGTCAATGCAACTGGCTCGAGTGAGGCGACTTCATTTATCCCTGCGTGATTGTGCCTCTTGTCAAGACAACTCAACTACATAGCCATATAACCGATGTTCATTTTATCCCTCAAGGAAGCTAATTCTGTCCTATAAAATGATGTCTTTGAAATTGATTTAGCTTGATATATAGAAAACCCTTCGTCTTTTTTTAAAACTTTCTTTTCTGTTAGAATGCAATGATCTGTTTGGCTAATATGATTCTTTTAAGGCTCCAGGGGATACCACTCATATATCATTAATGAGGAGTCCTCAACAGAATTCGAATCATCTGTAGATGTTGTAGCAACTATGGCATATGGTTATACCAGCTACACAGGTTCAGCGTTTGAAATAAGATGGCTAACAAAAAACCACCTTCTAACTTGACTAAGGGTGCATTCACTTAGGGGGTGTTCACTTAAGAAATTTCTGACCAGAAATCACATTTGGTAAATTTTTTATTGCAAAAATAAAACATGCACCACCAAATAATCACTTTAAATTTTGCAGAATGTGATTTCTCACCAGAAATTGCTTAAGTGAATGCGCCCTTAAGGAATTTCTGACCAGAAATCACATTCTGTAATTTTTTCATGCAAAAATGAAACATGCACCACCAGATAGACACCTTCAATTTTGCAGAATGTGATTTCTCACCCAAAATTGCTGAAGTAAACACACCTGTTCCTTGCAAGCACAGATATAGGGCACCAAGCTTGCAAGGGTTGAAAGAGCCCTGCACAAATCTGGGACTTGTGTTAAGTTAGACTCCACTATTGTTCTGTAAGTCAGTGTCAGCAGCAACATTAAGAGAATGGCAGGCAAAATTGGACTTATTATAAGCTCTGTAGGCTCAGCACAATATATAATCAGGTATAGTGAGTCAGGGTCACAAACACTTTGGTTTGATAAACTAACCAATGATATGACTTGTTACTTCCAATTATTCTGGTACAGTCATTTATCACCCTGAAGATCCTTGATATTTACCCCAAGAATGAAAGGAAATTCTAAAGCCTCTGATATGTTGAACACTATTTTACCAAGTCCGACAACATCAATCCAAAGAGAAGGGATAAATAAACTAGTACAAAAAAAACGCTTGCAGAACACACATGATGAAAATTTTACAAGGAATGAAAACAGATTGAATATAAAACAATCTACTATACTGTTTTCTTTTCCGTCTAAGGTTCACATAAGAAAGAGAGAAAGTCAAAACCAAATGATGTGTAAGTAATCCGTTTAAGTTTCTTTTGTTTTCTTTCTATTACTACTTGTTTGAGCTGTTGGACCTTTTCTTTTTTTGAATGCAAGACCCATACTTTTACGAATCTCATCCATATCTGCATCTGCATCATCAGCCTTAGCCGAAGAGATACCAAGTTGACTTTTATGAAAATTATTCCAAACCCCAGGAGTGATGGCTGTATGAGCGATAGGACCAGGTAGACCGGTCGGTGCACGACGACCTCCACCTCGTTTAGGTTGATGATGTCCTAGATGTAGAAGTTGTTGGAAAATTGGTGATTGACGAAGATGTGGATTCACATTGAGAGCTGCCATTGATAGTGGGTCGTCAGCTGTAAGAAAGTGACTAGCGATTGCAGAAGCTGCGGTAGAGGAAATCCGATCGGCATCAATTGGACTAGGCGCATGATTGATGATCATCGACAAGGCAGGTGCCTCGTTGGAGCCATTCGCATTAGATGGTACAGGAGAAGCCCGAGAGAAAACCGAACGATTTGAAGCTCGGTTTCGTAGTCCACGAGTAGCATGAGCTCGATGGGTATGACCAACAGCCTCTTCATTAAAATCGACGAGCTCTTTTTCTTCCTTCAACTTCTTTCTACGTTCCTCGAGACTTTCTAATAATTTATCTTTTGCTTGTGCCTTTGCGTTTGCAAACTCTTCTTCAATAGATTTCACCTCTGACTCAAACGAAGCACGAGCTGAACTGATTAGATGGTCATGATACACTCTCACTGCCAACAATTCGTTTTCTCTTTTCAATGACTCCCGATGAAGCTGTAGTAGATAGTTGATTTCGGTAGGTGGATTAGACATGAGTGCAAATTGAGTTTCATTCAACTCCTTCCATGCGTTGGTATAGATTCTAACAAGTCCGATCAGAACGAGATAAGCAACTTGGCAAGATGCATAAGACATGATGTAGAAAGCGAGAAAGACTGACTCTTCACGCCTCCGTAGGTTATCGTCTCGTATACGCTCGATACGTGCAACCTGATCCCGTCTTCGCTTGTCCTTCTTACTTTCAAACGGAGCGGCATGATAGGCATGTGCTACGGATGATCAAAGAAGAAAATCAAAAACGTCAGAAAGGAGGTATCTTGGCCAGTAAGAAAGGGTAAGAAAACAAACAAAGCTCACAAGATGTGTCCTTCAAACCATCGCCATCCCAGGTCTTGGCGTTATGGATGGCAGACTTTGAAGTAGATTTGAGTGGAGTAGTCATGGTATAGGATCAATGAGATGATGTTAAGGTTGATTTTGAGATTGAGATTGAGAAAGTGAAGTATGATGATGATGATGATAATGAGAGTCAGGTGAAGTTGATGATAAGTTGATTTGATGATGATATGATGATGAAGGTGAATAGTGAGAATGAGAATGTTTCATTGAGTTAGTGATGATATCAATCATGGTCATCAAGTGTAAACAATTCAATACTCAAATCGAAAAATCACTTTCACAAGAGCACTCATACTTTACACTTACACTTACATTACACACCCGCTGGCGGCTGAACTGAGCTATCTGTAACTTTAGACCTAACCTAATCCTTATATCGGGGTCAGTGGAACTCACACAGCTCGCGTTCATGCAACATCTCTTGCCAGACGGTCACTATCAAGCGCATTTATCCATCAAACAACAGAGATGATTTTGTAAGTTTGATTTTTTTCGATTCACTATGAACAATTTCCTATTCAACCTAGATTACACAAACTGACCCACATGTTGAGGTCTCTTTTTTCCTTTTCCAGCTGTCCGACTTGTGGAAATATGCTGGTGGTCAGTCGAGCAACGGGTGAAAATAAATTTGAATGCCAGAGTTGCCCTTATGAATATCCAGTCTATCGAAACGTGAGTCATACGATTTTTTTTTCGTTTTCCTCAAAATCACTTGGGAAATTAATCATTCATCGGAGGGCACTGCGTTGGTCTTCATCAGTAGTACACCGATCGAACTGTATTATCAAGAAAAGAAGTCGATGATGTTTTAGGAGGCGAAGAAGCATGGAAGAATGTAGATCAGACTGAAGGTAAATCAGCTTTCCATCGTTTTATTGGTGATTCGGTTGGTAATCGTAGATATTTATACAATTGACATTATTCGGATTTGCTTTTTGGTTTTCTCTAGCTCCATGCCCCAAGTGTGAAAATAATCGGGCATTTTATATGCAGCTTCAGATTAGGAGTGCAGATGAACCTATGACCACTTTTTATAGGTTAGAAACATTCATTGTACCCTTTGTAGCTTTCATCGTAGTTTCCGTAGCTTCACTGACATGTCATGTTGATTGTAGGTGTACCGTTTCACAATGTTCGACTCAATGGCGAGATTGAAAATACTCCCACAATTTTGTCAAATCAAGGAAAGTGAATACTCAGAGGTGACATCAATCGAATCGGGCTCTGGGGAACCTACTGGTGCAAAATGTATGATTAAGACGACTTGAAGCGCGTAGACCAAGGCGTAGACTGTACCTAGAGACTCGCTTTTGCTCCGGAAGACTGGCAAATTAGCATTGTGTAGAGGATGTACGACAGTTTCCAGAGCGTCCTTCAAGTATCTTTGTGAGGATTATGAAGAAGTAATAGTTACCTCCGAGAGGCCTCATTCTATGGCAGGTCTAGCTTATATTGTACTTGAATATTTACTACGTGAAGAGACTCGGGAGTTGCTACTATCAGCGATGCTTCCGCAAGGGAAAGATATCTGAAAATCTTGTGTATGTTGGATCTTGACTAATAGTAAGACACCGTGAAAATCAACAAATTGGTAGCCAGCTTATCTGACACATTTCTTCAGATTTATGTGTAGAGAAGATGTCTTAGAAGAGTTCCCTCAATACCTTTGGCATATTGGATTAACTTAACCAAGTGCCTCTAGTCAGACACTTTTTCCCGGCAAGCGTGGGTGTCTGAAGAGCAGCGAGCTTGCAAAGGTCAAAAGAGCCCTGCAAGAAGTAGTTGATGCATGCACAAAGCCATGGATCCGCTTGTCAAGATCATGGCAAGGCTTGACGTACCAGCCATGCAAACATACCCTGTTTGAAAGTGAGGTTTTCAAATTCTGATCCCTTGGTTTTGGTGACAAAAGACTCAAGAGGTTCAGTTTTCTCTTTGTCTCTGGCCTCTCCTTGTGCATACTGTTTGGCAACCAAAGGAGGAATATTGTGTCCTTTAGAATTAGCTGTGAGTTGTCCTGGACAGCCAATTGTTGAATGACTGTCCTGAGTTGATCGGATGAATTGCTGTGACTGAAACAAACAGGGTTGCTCTTGTCTCAGCTGCACCATAAGTAAGGATATCCAAAGCTAATCTGGATTTAGGACAAATCCAAGAAAATGGAATTTGCCAGTGTGGTACATGATGTTGAGAAAGTGAAGGTAATCAATGCATACATCATTTGACTTGTTGTGGAAGGGAGTTCCAAAGTAGGCTAGTAGGAAGTCCATCTTCACACTCTCCTTGACATTGGTGGGTTTTCTTTCACAAACTCGAGTGTTTTCTTCATCTGAATCTGCTTGGAGAACCTCTTTTGTGACCTGGAAGAAGGCTTTGAAAGATACAATTGAATAAGCCTCAAAATCTCTCTTAGGTTTCATAAGCCTATACCAACAAGGTTTCATCACACACAATGTCCATCCCCCATGAGCACATCAACATGCTCACACAAAGAACATCTTGCGGAGGGTTGATTGACCCTTTCACTGTGAACATCATTCAACTTCCCCAAGTTGGAAGAGGAAAATGATCAATAGTACAGTTTGTCATACAGTAGATTTCAAAAGTCTTGAAATCCACTCGTTTTCAAAATTGAGAGATGGTCCGTGCGCCCGGCAGTATAGTTGAGATTAATTGTGACATCTGTCAAACTTACACGCCACATCCAACAATATGCAGATGCTTAGCTTCAAAAAATCAATGATTGATTCTATGATTCCTTCTTCTCCATCAACTATTGGTGTCCAAGTGGTAATGAGCTGCGGTAAAGCCTTGCCACACTGGATTCAGCGGAGTCAGTGTTCGACTCGCTCTTCTCTTTTGTCACCCGTGATTTTTTTCATCAAGTCATTAATGACCAATAGCACCCAACCATGGACAAAACAATCAACACCTCCGTCTCTACCTCAACAAGCAAAAAGGGACTTGTAAAAAAATTCAATTAATAGTTAGAGACAAAAGCAGACTCAAACTTGGGTAGTTGGCCTGGTGGCAAGCTTTATTGTAATGAGAACATACCCTCATGCCGCTGCGTCACAGCGCTTTTGAATTGTCTCGTATTCTTTGCTATCAGTACGACCACACCTTGGAATATATATGTATAAATATCAGATCTGGCATGTAAGTTTGACAGATGTCACAATTAATCTCAACTATACTACCGGGCGCACGGACCATCTCTCAATTTTGAAAACAAGAGGATTTCAAGACTTTTGAAATCTACTGTACAAGGATCCAATACTGCACTCCTGAGCCATACAATTCACACTACATATGTGCAGCAAGCTAAGTTAATAGTTTTCTATCATGTACATACAGGTCTGCTCAGGTTTTTGCCCATCAGAATAAATAAATCACATGTTATACCACATGTAACTTTTGTGACTTTGAAAAAAATGTTCCAAAATTTCACTACATATGATTCTGTAGCTGCTCAGGCAATATTGTTGAAGCTATTTCTTAGTAACAGAAAGGGTGTTACATGCAGTTGAGTTGATGAGATTACACCAAAATGTTGAGTCAGTGTATGTAGTCAATATTTTGAATGCTTGTGTCAATCTGAAAAAAGTTACAGCATGTATTACATATGAATAACTTATCCTGATGAGCAGATAGCTGAGCAGAACAGTATGTACATGATAACAACCTATTCACTGAGCCTGCTACACATATGTAGTGAGGGTGTTATGGCTCAGGTATGGAGTGATAGATCATTTTATGACAAATCATACCCCCAATCATTTTTTCCTGCCCACTTGGGGAAGTTGAATAATGTTTGCAGTGTTTAAAGATTCCTTTGGAAAGATGTACTGGCCGTCCTTTGTCTAAGTGGGACATCTTTCAGACATAGGCAGTATGATTGAGTCAGTTCAACCCTTTATCCAATCCAACAAGACCCACTTGATTTGGTTGTCTTGTCATTAAATTTCTATGTGTTACAAACAGTCCTGTCAGATCATGCTCTCCCAAGCTTTAAAATATATCAAGTAGGGAACTGCACTTACACAATTCTAACAAATTCAAGTAGAAAGCATATTTGATTAGGATTGATGAGGTACCTAGGGATACAACTTTGGTTTACCAATATTGCTTTCTCTATATAAACAATATATGAAAGTGAGTTATGATGGTTTATAGCTTTGTGCCATGATCTCTTGCTACACCGAGACACTATTCCAGTTTCAAAGGGCAGGTCAAGATGACTTGCCACTGAAAAAGAAAGGTACTACAAATCCTTTCTTTCAACATTTCACAAACAATCAAGAAACAGTAGGTTCTACCTCTTTGTCTACCAAGGATTCTTGTATTCTAAAGATAGAAATGAATGAAAAAAGGTTTGAATTTATGTTACACAACTCTCTGTGTGGACAGTTTCAATGTGCTCATGAGGGACGGGGTGAAAGTCTTGTTCAGGGTTTATTTCCATGAGATACATTTTCCATTTCATTTTTAGATCCATCAAGGCCATCACACAAACAGCTTCAAAATTAATTGTGGTGATCTTATCCCCATACCTGGGACAATCCATATCAATATACAAGATCAACTTCACAATGACCTTTACCTGTAAATATCAAATCACATCATTTTAATCCATTTTATCAACAATCAAGACTGCCATACCAAATCTAAACTCACTCATCATTATTTTACTGCAGAAGTATCCTCCAATCTCATGATGTTCAATCTAAAAGTCAAATTCACAGCACTTCACTAAAGTTCAAATGATCCACGAGTTAATCCTTATGATATTTTATCCTGTGTGTTTCCTATCTGAAGTGCTGAAGTAATCAAGATCAATAAAGATTTTGACAATCTGGCACATCATCACAAAATCCTTGACCTCAAATTCAAATTCAAATTCAACATGAAGCTTATTAATCTTTGTTAATTGTCAACTTTCATATTGGCTGTTTCATTACAATCAAGAACTACTCCATGTGTAGCTTGATGTACATCTTTTTGGCCATTGGATATGAGAACACAGATTTGATCAAGAAAGAGTCATCTGACCAAGAGGATAGAATCATATGATTGTAATGATCTGAATTTGAATGATACAATTTTGGCATTCATGAGAAACCAAATCCAACAGACTTATCAAAAACAGCACAGCTACATGCATTGTCCTGTGTATGTTTTATCAGTTGTGGCTAGGATTTTTGATCAAACTTTGAGAGTGGCACATCCATATTTCTACTCAAAATATGCATGCAGGCTTATGAAACTGTGAAAATTAAACTATGGTGGATATTTGGCCTGGACATATGTGAATGTTGGCAGCTCATATACATGGGTGTGCCTTACCTTCAATTATCTTAAGCTGAGTAATTCAGATAGCTTTCCCTGCAAGTATGGCACTGCAGCACCTGCTGCCAATTTCCTAGTATGTTTGTAAAACACATGAACATAATTGTGATGAAGCTCCAACATCTAGGAACAAGACAAATATTTTTTGGATGATCAATGATGTTGTGGCTTGTCAGATTTTTGTTTTAATTTTGCTTCAAAAATGTGTGAATATTTCAACATATCTTTGTTAGCAGGAGGAGGTACAAAGGTTAACTGATTTGAACGATAATTTTGATGTGATTTATTTGGATCTTTTCATTGAAGTGAAGTTCTTCTGGAATATGACATGATTGTTTTAGCACATTGTCTCTTTTTTTAGATTTTCAATGGAGTCCTTCTGTTTGGTGGTTTGTTTGTTCTGCTTGATTTAATAAGTTAATTTGATGGTTGATTTTGGATGAAGTAAATTGATTAATTTTGAAAAATTTGATGATAAGGATTTACAGTAATTGAATTGAATTTTGTAACTTTGAACATGGCTATTATTATTAATCAAGAAGTGATAATTAATCAAATTGATTGGAAAGAAGCTTTTGTGAATCAGAAAATGGCCTGTGATTTGTCAAGTTTTGATTTTACTTTCTCAAATGGGCTCAGTCAGATCTGAGTATGTAACCAAACAATTCATAAAGTTGATTTGTTTTGATTCTGACAAACATGATTCCAAGCAACATTTCTTGCTGCTGGCCAACACAAGGCATGAGTAAATCACAAAGATGCCCATAGCACGCCATGACAGGCTTCAAAGCTATGTACTCCTGGACATAAATATAGCTTTTTTTCCCTGCCACACAACCCCAAAAAAGTATATTAGAAAAGTATATACATGTACATATCAAATTTTTAGTACCATAGCTATATATTATTGGTTGGGAAATAAAGGAGCAGGTTTGTATATATGTATGATGTCAGATGACATAATCTCAATTTTGATGGTATCACATATCTTGTCAGTAACCAACGCACAACATCTTCATAGCAGACACATATCATTTTGAAAGCATATTGAAATCATCTTGAAAACATTTTGAAGTCATGGGGTGCCCCAAACTCAACTAAGTCCCTTGCCAAAGGCCCAAGGCTTGAGCAAGGGACTTACCGCTAAAAACAGATTCTTATGCCTGAAAATCATACTGTATTGGCTCAAAAACTGTTACATGGGTTTATTTTTTGGGGGATTGAATAAACTCAACTTCACAGCCAGCAAATCTACCTTGGATGCAAAAATCCAAGGAGACCTTGGATTTTGACCCCGAGGGAAGCTTTATCCAAGGATCCAATCCAAGGCAACAGCAACGGCCAAATTTTCCCTCGGATGCATTCCTCGGGTGCCCTTTTCCTTTGGGGGGGCATCCGAGGAATCCTTGGATGTTTGTTTCCAAGACAACTATGCAGGCAGTGCTTGATTGAAAACACAAGGGGAATGAGGCACACCCATTACACATACTCAAGCTGCAAGCTCCTTCATATTCCTCTGGGAATTTCTCTTGTAAGGCAATTGAAGATTGAAATTTTCACCTGTTTCTGAAAAATACAGGCTCCAAGCGGGCTAACTGCTCAGAAAATATTGAGATAGATCATAGATTCGTAGTTTATCACCTAATGTCAAAAGTTCAACATCCAGACAAGATCCAGAGGAACTTGAAATTGTACAATATGTAATGGACCATTTCTATCCTCATTTTATTTTGCATCAAGCACAGTTTATTTGGAATCAAAACAGAGAATTCATTGTAGTGGTTTTTGAGCCAAATAGAGAACATGTGGTGTAGAACTTATAACCCAACAAGGGTTATACAGAGCTGGAAGAGGATAATCTACTAATAAAATGACTAGTAGAAGTTGTCTGAGACTGCTCTTCTAAAACAACACAATCAGGAAAAGACTCTGTTGTATTGAGTACAGATAAGGCACCAGAGAAATATATCTTCACACGTGTTTTAACTTCAAAAAAAAACACAATTTTTATTACTATCAACACTGCTATAGTAGGGCGGTTCAAGATGCGTTTTGCGAATGGCCTGACGTACAGCCCCGATCTTGTATTTTAAGGGTGCGAGATCATTAAAAACTCCGTTCGCGGTCGCGTGAACGGTCTCCAAAGTGTCGGTTTATGGCCTTTTAAAAGAAGGTACAACACCTTGTCTCCTCTTTTTTTTTGCTCCAACCTTTGTTCAACGGTTCTTTTTTCTTTTGAATTTTTTTTCGTTGTACTGGAACGATGAGAAACATGGGGCATCAGCTCCCCATCTCTCACTACACTTTCAAGCTGTTACCCACGATCATCATCCCCAAACAATCACCCTCTTTCATTATTTGTTCTTTTGAGTCCTTTTTCCAAAGAATGCCTCGCATATCCGACAGAGTTTCTGCCCTATGTGGCCTCACCGATATCTATCTTTTCGCCCACACGACCTCAGAGATACGCATCCCTGGAACATCTCCTGATCCCGAAAACCCTACAGAAGGCGAAATTCTCTTCCGTGGCGATCCAGAGTTGTCCAGCTTGTACGACGAGCTTTTTGACGCAGAACAGCAGTGGGGTGACCTGCTCAGGCAGGTCACCTCGAGACGTTACCTTAACGAGCAATTACGGACTCCTCTACCTACGGCCTTTGACCTTCGAGACATGCTGCGAAGCCGCAGCACCGACTTCCGGCAGGCTATGCGAACAACACCGGAAGGGTTTCAAGCTTTACTAAACATGATTCGCTCTCATTCCATCTTCGTCTCCACTGGCAACAATCCACAGCCGCCAGTTGAGAAACAACTTGCGATCACGCTGGAGCGTCTTGGCAGCAACGGGAACGGGGCCTCTGTTGGAAGATTTGCACGCAATTATAAAGTTGGCAGGGGATCTGTAATCAATTGTACCAGACGGGTTATTACGGCTATCTTGGATGTTGGAGCTCATTATCTGTCGTGGCCAAATGCAAACCGACGCAAAGCAATCTCAAAGGTGCTTGAACGAGATGGATTTCCGGGGTGCGTGGGCTTCGTCGACGGCACAACTATCCCGCTGTTCCAGCGACCTGGTCGCGATGGAGAGGTCTTTTTCGACCGCAAGCATTGATATTTGCTCAACGTGCAGATTGTTTGTTATTGCGACAGAAGAATCACCTATGCTTATGCTGGGTGGCCGGGTTCGTGCTGTGATAGCACCGTGTATTCAAAAACTGAAATCGCGATTCAGCCGGAAAAGTATTTTGATAAAGGTAGGCCCTTTCAAATTACCGGTTTACTTGTGATATTGAAATCTGATGTTATTGCTTTTGTTTGTAGATGAATACATTGTAGCAGATTCAGCATACATCCCTTCAGAAACTGTGGTCCCCTCTTACAAAGGTCAAGCCGCCGATTTCGAAAGAAACAAAGATTTTAATTGGTGCATAGCGAAAGCTCGAGTGCGAAACAAGCATTGCATTGGGATACTCAAATCAAGATGGGCATCACTTCAGGGGTTACGATTATCTTTGAATAGTCGCAGTGATATGTATCACATTCTAAGATGGATCCGCTGCTGCCTCATCTTACATAATATGCTTGCAGACTTAGGCAATGCGTGGAATGATGATGACTACGATAGGCTTTTGAGGGAGCCCGGGGACGCGGGAATTCATCGACGCGGAGGGGCAGTGCAGGACTTGGATGTCATTGAAAGGGGCAGGGCGAAAAGAGAACATGTTTGAGACCACACGGTTGCCTATAACTGGCAGAGCGGCGGCCTCCCAATTGTATCCTAGCGGCTATCCCAGTGTTCTGTTTCTTTTCTTTACAAATGATATGTATACTTTAGTGTTTCCTTTTGACATCTTGAGATTTAGTGGTCCTTTAATCTTGTTGTTTGTACCTTGTGTTCTAACAACTTGTGTTCGTTACTAGTGTTTTGTTTTTGGTATATGTTATTGTGCAATTCAATCTATTCAGTCCCGCACGAGTTCAACATCATCGAGTTGGTGCAAGGACCTTTTTGTTTGTTTGTTTGAGTTTGTTTGTTGGATTTTAATAGATTCAAATTTTGAATGAGATCATCTCAAAGTCAATTTCTGAATAAGTTCAGAAATCGAATGAAGAAAAAAAAATCTATCGAAGTCATGATCTGATTACTTCAAGAATAATTCGCTCAACGGCACAGGCATCATGAAGGATTAATTTCAATGTCATTGCTTAAATTGACATTGAAATACATGTTTAAATAGCTGCACGTTGGACTAGCTGCGTACAAAGAGGACTGATTACAGATAAGACGACTGGTAGACGACTGGCACAATCACAAAAAGACGACTGGTACAATCAAAGGAAGTATGTAGCTGTGTACATATAATTCACTGATAACAAATGACAGACGACTGAACGCAAAAACACAGGCGAGGCATGGAGGTCAAACGCTGGTGTATTAGATGGTATTCCTAGAACAGAAGATTATAAACATGGCATTCAGTGTGAGTTACGGGATGAAGAGAGAAAAGTGCATACTAACCCATTTTCTTCGGCCGGGTAAATAAGTCAAAGGTAAGCTTCAAGTTCTTGCGGAGTTTTACCTTCCAAAACCAATCGCTCACAGAAAGCCTTCCTTTCCTTTCGGGTCTCTTGGGCCAATCGCTTGGAGTCCATTTCGCGTTGCTCTTCACGGTCAAGGAAATAGCGTTCTTTGGTCCAGCTGAGAGTCGATTTCCGATCTTCTAAATCAGCTTGGATGTGAGCTTTGTCTACCTTGATTCGGGCTTGGTCTATTTGCTCGCGCGATTGTTGAGCCTTTGCAAAAACCTCCATCTTTGCATCGTTGGCCTGTTGAATCGCTGAAGCCAGGGCATTCTTGTGATCCTTCACATGCACATTTGATGGGTCGATGGAGGGTAGTGGGTCCAGACCACGTCGAGATAGAGGCGCGCGGACGGTTCGGTTAGCACTTCTGGCCGTTGCTTGAGTCTTGGTCACGGGTAAGGCATCGGGTTCATCTTCTGAACTGGAGTCCAATGCTCGTTCCTCCGCAGTGAGATCATATTTCCCAGCTCTCTTGGCTCGCTTTCCGGAGGGCTTTGCGTGAGATGTGGACGTAACTACATGACCGATGTCAGCACTTGAATGGATGGGCTGAAGGACAGGGCTGGGTATGTTGTCCTTGGGATCGTTTTGGCCTTTCGGAGTAGGCGGAAGCGAATTGATATCATTCTCAAGGTCAAGAAAACTGCGATAATGATTGTTGAGTGCTTCAGGAGTTCCTAGCGTTCTTTCCAAAGAAGGAGCCTCCGGGGTCGGAGATAATGGCACATATTTCTTACGATCAGCACGGTCCAATGCACTCTGGACATCAGGGCCTTTGAGGGCAAGAAATTCAGTTGTCAGTATAACATTCATCTTGTGTTAAAGATGAAAATAAGCTTACCAGGGTCAAGCCCATCGGTGAGATCTCCATCGCTATCCATTGCGGAGTCATCGCCATCCTGAGAGCCGAGTCCAGAATCAAGAATTCCAAAGGGATTTACGTTGCCTTTATCACGAAACAGCGCATCCATTTCAGGATAGCAGGGGCACATTGACTCCAAAAGTGCCTCCATGCTATGAATGCCACGAGCGTGGTGCTTGGGCTCCAGTCCAGCGCCAGTCTTCAAACTCAGGGATTTCGCGGATTGATACTTGCCTTTGTATCTTCGAAGGCGAAGAAGCAGAGTCCTGCCAGTCAAGTGCATGTCGGTGGAGTTGTAACGTTCATTGTAGTTATTGTTGAGTTTGATTGCCAGGGTGTTCAACAAGGTCTTTGGGCTCATTGGCAAACCAGTGACCTTGGTTTGGCTGCCACCACCGAACAGAGAATTGAGGACATTCGGTTTGGCGAGATAAGCAAGGATGGTCTTGTAGTCGACTAAGTCAAAAGGTGGGCTGTCGCTCGTAGAACGTTTGATGCTAGTTACCGAGGCTTCTTTTTCCGCGCGTTTCTTCGCTGCAAGTCGGGATCTTTTCACAGCAGCCGGAGTAGGTCTCGAGCCAACCACATGTCCAGATAGGGCTAAATCAGCAGCGATTTGCGCTTTGGTTTGGCGGGGGCGACGGTTTCCGTTTTGAGAAGGTTTTGGTGAGCTCTTTGGTGAGTTACGCATTCCAGATGATTGATATTGAGCAGGAAACAACTAAAGTATCAAATATAAAGTAACACCGCCGGAAATCAGGTGAACAGTTGATGTGTACAGGCCAAAGAATCAGATGAGAAGAAAAAGACCTACATGCAAGACAGTGACTAAGTGGCCAACGCGAGCAAGGGATCAATCGATTCAAGGGCGAGTGGAGCAAGCAACAAGGATAAGCGAGAATGGGAATTATAATGCCAAAATTACTGTTGGGATGTGCGATTTAAGAGAGCTGTGAGATTCAAGAGAGCTGTGATGAGATTCAAGAGAGCAATTCAAATGTTCTACTTGACCAGTGAACAAGCTTATATAAGAAATGAATCTGATGAGGAGTCTGAAAGCTTTGGCCGTTCGGTTAAGACGACAAACAAGCAGTCGACCGATCGGAAATCCACCTTTGCGCGTTACTTGACCTGTTTTTGAGAGGTCCAAACTGAGGCCGAGATCATACGATTTCAAGTCCCAATATTAATCCAAAGAAGCGTGATGAATGGCCTGATGAGTCAGCACTGAGAGACCTGAAGAGATGACCGAAGCGTTGATAACCGTGCCGTGTAGAACCCGCAAAGAAATGTGATATTGATGATAAGAAACCTTGTGGAGATACCGCCAAATCGATGATAAGAAAGCTTGTTGAGATACCGCAACTTGAGATAACCATGTACCCGTGCCCTTCTGTTCCGAATCAAATCGGCAAAGCAAGCCAAATGGATGATACAAACCCTGCAGCAATGATGTTGACAAACCGGACGAGCAACCAGACCATCCAAACCTGGTATCTTGAGGACCCCGACGGTCCACGATCCGAGGTAATAGCCCTCGTTTGCAGCCAGTAAACCAGGTTCAGAAGGAAAAAAATCAATAATTAAATAATCTGCTCCAAAAAAACAAGTTCAAACAAGGGACAAACGCAGCAAAAAAAAAAGGTACAACTTTTTTTACTATTGTTTTTCTGGAAGCAGGCAAATGCTGTTAAATTTATAAGGCCAAAGGTCACATCGTAAAACCGCGAGCCAGCTCTAGAGCTGGCTTGCGGCCTTAAAATTTTACATAAAATTTTGAGGAACCGTACAAAAGTTGAAGTTCTAAATTTGGTTGTAAAATGGCTACTTGAACTGCCCTAGTGTTATTCCCAAATGATAACTGAAGAAATAAGCAATATCTTTATTGATATTATTCCCAATGAGTCTTTTTGACTATAAAACTAAAGTAAATTTGTCTTTATAGCTATAATAAAGGGCGTATTTAAGTGACCAGGTACTATTAAAATAAGTTTATAATGATAAACAAAATAATAACTGCGTAGATGATAAAGAAAAAAAAGGGGAACAACAGTCCCAGGATCCTCTCAAAGTATATATAACAATGTACTCCAACTTTTACAAGGGTCAACAGCCTCAAAACCAATCAAATCCGCCCAGAAATCCCTAAAAACCCTATGATGACGCAATGTAATGATTTTGTTACTGATAAATGATGTAATTTTCATAGCCAAAAGTGATCAATGACGCAATAATATGATGTATAGCACTTCTTATGATGAATACAGGTGATTTTTTTCCTTGTAAACTAGCTGAAAACCAAATTTTGAGATTACAAATTTTTTCAGATGAGGTCCAATTTTTGATTACTAAAGTGCATCTTGTAGCACTCGTGTTAATAATCATTTATCACCCTCATATGACCTATTTCTGATGAGTGATGAGTAAGATATTGAGCTGTGAAGTTAAGGTTTTGAGCATTACATGTTGACTTGTGACTGTAAATTCGAGATTCACACCAATTCTTTATTTGCCTTATAACTTTTTTCATACACCTCTGCTACTATTAATTTAAAGCTTGTAAATTATGTAATCCACTCTTCTGCGTTGAATGAGCCATCTACCAACCTAATCTGACGTCATTTGACATATGTAATAAGCTGAAAACCTTCATTTTTGACAAAATTTGCCCATTTTCTCCACTTTTCACAGCTGCTACTCTCTTTTTCTTGCTCATGTAATATGACATCATCTTCTATAACCTTAAAAATCCCGGAAAATCCTCTTGGAAACCTTAAATTCCATTACTACCACTATTACATAACCAAACTACATGTGTACCCCTTGTTTACCAACTTTGAAAAAGTGCCTTTTCTCTAATAACTTCTGTTTCTTCTTATCAACCTTCAAGATTAAAATTGTCATAGTATAATAGAATGTTGTTCTTTCATATTCTAACCTCATAATACCCATAACCTTATTTTTACTACCCTAAAAACCGTTTCCCAACCTATGTACCTATATTTTCAAATTTTTCTTATGTTTTTCTTTCTTTCTTTTTGTAATAAGTTTGTGAATAAACTATAATGATCTTAATAATTAATGTGAAATATAATGATGTAATGTTATCCTGATGACCAATACATAAGCCTACAAGAGCTTCAATTGATCAAAAAACCTCCATTTCAAATTTTCTGTCCTGCTAAATCCTTCTAATAAACTGGTAAACTGCTAATTGTGAATTTTTTAATTGATCCCATAAATTGATCACCACAGCGGGTATTCCCACCACAGCTCAATTGTGAAACATACAAGTTCCCAACTCTCATTGTTACAACAATTTAGGATTCACTGCTTGCCATAGTTGCTCATTTCTCAGAATTCAAAAAATGGGCACTTTGTGATCTCCTCAGCTCAGAATCATGGTAGCATTATGCGGGATTCAAGTATTAATAAAATTGTAGGAGAAAGGAAGATCATTTATAGGATTTGTTGATCAAAATCAACCTAGGCTGAAAATCAATGACAATGATGAAACACCAAAAGAAACGAAGACGGGAGTCAGATGTGGTTCAAACAAAGCATTGGTGGTAGATGAAAATTTTCACTGGAAAAGCAAAATAGGTAGCATTTATTTGATGTCCGTCATCAAAGCAAGCCAATCATATAAATGGAGGAAGGATGAAAAACAATCAGAGTATGTGAAAAGTGATTCAGCATTAAAATCAAAAAAGAAGTCATACCTGAGGACAAAAAATTGGTCTGGTTAAAAAGCAAGTCAGTACAATTGCAAATGGCAAATACAGGACTTGACATAAAGAAGACAAAAATGGAAAAGAGGACAAAAAGCATCACCAAGTAATTTCCAGGTGGTAATAAATCCCAGAAGGCCAAGATAATCCAAGACAAAGGAAAATGATCAAAGTGTGTGAAAAGCCAATAAGCATCAAAAGCAAAAAGAAGTCATACCCAAAATCATAAGAGGGCAAACAGCCAAAGCAGAGGATTTAAGGGGTAACAATGGAGAACCAAAAAAGAAAGAAGGGAACCATGAAATGCAAAAGTTACAAAAGCAGGTGAAAAAAGGAGTTTCAACTTGCCAAGTGGAGCATTTCACCAATGGACCAAACCCATGTGAGTGGCTTTTACTTTTTCATATTGTAAATACAGCTCACTTCTCAGGCAAGAATTCTGCTTTTAGCAGTAAATATCTACCTCATGCCTTGGGTGTTTTGCCAGGGACTTGGTTAAGTTTTGGGGTGCCCTGGCCTGCCAGTGACTATTAGTTGGGGGCTGTGTTAATGTTGAAATCAAGAAAATTGCAACCAGATCAAATGGAGAAATTGAATCTTGTCAATTCCCCAGGTGATCATAGAGGGTGAGTTTGCTTGAATCTTGTCAAGGCTCAGCCCTTCTGCCTTTGTTTGAATTATTCTGATGATTGAGCAAGCTTGTGATTGAGTGAGATTGATTTGATAGAGCTGATGATCGAGTGAGATCAATTTGATAGAGCTGATGATCAAGTGAGTTGGAAAAAATGAAAAAAGGAAAAACAATATCTGGAACGGAACACCAGATATCCAGTTATCCACTGGATCAGATGTTGGACATGTGGATTCTTGAAAAAAATCTGATTGGGTATTCATTCATACATAGAGTGGTGTCAAGTAAGGTGACTCTCAGAGTCTCAATTACATATGATTTCTTTTATGTAACCCTAGATGGAATCCCTCTGTAAGTTCATCACATCTGTCAATGCTCATCAGGCCCATTCTACCACAGTAAAACATAGCCTCTTACAAGGTTAACATCTTACTATGTGTGGTGTGAGGGGCAAAGGTAATAAATCTAGAGGGAATGTGTATTCTTGCTGTAATTGATAACCTCAGGCTCTGGGGACAAGAGTAGGCCTGAGGAGGACTGACTCCTCAGGCCTGAGGAGGACTGACTCCTCAACCCTGGGACGGTGGGTGGGACTTTTAAAACTAAATATGAGAGCAAAGAGAATCAGAGAGAGGAAAAGACTTGACAAATCCTTGATTGTAACTGCAAGTTCAGAAGGGTGCATAGAAGGAGAAGTGAAAATTCTTTATGCTTTCTTCTGAGGTGTCCTCTACCTTGCTACCACACTTCACCTGTCAGAGCTGTGAAACTTCAGTCTGCACCTGTGAATTCTACCACTCTACTGAATGGAATACCCTGTACCCCTACAGGCTCTGGAAACATGACCAATTTCCCTAAGGGATGGATAGCCATATCAGTTAGCTTGGGGTTTGGGCAAGCCAGGATTCACCGGATTGTCACTGGATCACAGCTCGAGTGAGGATGACTTGCAGTCATCTGTGCAATGACCTTGGTATGGAATACATATGGACTCATACCAACATACACTGCAAAGATAATGTATTTCTCCAAGGCAAAAAATGATTACATTTAATGTACAAAATGATTAAAAGTGCATTAAGTCTGCATTAAGTCTGCATTTTTCTGCATTAATTCTGCATTGTTAATCATTTTGTTCATTAAATGTAATCATTTTTCACCTCGGAGAAATGCATTATCTTCGCAGTGATACACTGCAAATATGATGTGTTTTCAAAGGCACAAAATGATTAAAAATGCATCAAGGGCATGTTCACTTGAGCCAATTCTGGTCAGAAATTGTATTCTGCAAATTTAAAGTACTGGTTTGGTGGAGTGTGTTTCATTTTTGCATTAAAGAATTCACAGAATGTGATTTCTGGTGAGATAAGGCCACGTTCACCTAAGCACTTTTTTGTGAAAATTGACATTCTTGAATGTTGAGAAATCACAGAATGCTTATAAAAAGCAATTTATTGGGACATTTTAAGAATTCACTATTAGCACATTCTTGTCTACAAAAATCACGTTTCTTCTTCTCTTGACCTGTGCCAGTTGACTGCTTTGTAAACTTTTTCTGATCAGATTGTACAAGGTACCTTCTACTGTACGGAACCCCTCAAATCTGTCACAAGTCCCCAGTCATTGCACAAGTGGTCTCAAAACCAATCATCCACCACTATTCTCAAAATCAATCGTCCATCACCATCCTTGATCAATGTCATTCTCAACTCAACTTATGTTGATCATTCCCATTCTCATTCTCAACTTAACCTGGTGTTTATACAACATGCCTGCGTTCTGGACCTAGATTGGATATATTTGGAGATGGTAATTAATTGATGATTTGTTCTACATCATGTGGATTAGATGTTACAAGAAATGCAATATAATTCTTGTACTTGAGATGGTGATCTGATCAAATGAAAAAAACTCAAATGCAATCATTCTTGATGAATCAATAATGGATTTGGAAATCCATCTTCTAATCTTGATTCTTTGCAAAGTCAGTTAAAATGAAGAGTTGATTTGTCACATTGGTTGTAAGTTTTTGTGATTGTGTTGGGTTAGGTAACCGTAAAGGGATCAATCATTTTGGTTTTGGTGATGATGTAGGAGATGATGTTCCATGGAGGTGGAATAGGGTGGAATCTCAAACTCATAACACTTTCACTTTGAGAATGAAAAGTGATCAGTGCATCCAAATCAAACGACTCAAGACCGCTTCTTTCACAATTTCCCACAAAATTTCAAATTTCATGTTTTTAAAAAAACACACTTTTCTACATGTAGAAAAGTGCTTGCTCATAAGAGCACCCACTATCATGAGGGTGATCTATTGTAGATTTTGCATTCCCGAGCGCGAAATTTGATCATGCGTGTTTTACCAAAGTTGGTAACCGCACGAAATCCACTATTGGATGATTTACCGTCTGCTTTACCTGGTTCCTACGATAAATCAGGGTTTAAGCTTTCGTAGATTTGAACAAGCGCAATGCAAAATTTTATGCAGTCGTAGGGACCGCCAATGTAAAACAGGCCCATAGTGGACCTGTGTGTAACTTAGCGGTAAAGCTACAATAAATCACCTCGTTACCGCAACCATAGTGGGTGCTCTAATGTGATTTCTCAAACTCCACACTAAGCAAACACGCCACTAAGTGAACATGCCCTAAGTAAACATGCCCTAAGTATACATCAATTCTGCATTTTCCTGCATTAATTCTGAACTATTCATCATTTTGTGCATGGGGTTCAATCATTTTTCACCCTGCAGAGTGACATCATCTTTGCAGTGATATAAACAGCACATCTGTTACACATGTCATGTGTAATTTCAATCAGGTTGGATTCCAATTTTTTCATTGAAATTGTTCACTGCTCAGTTGACTCGAGCTTGGTTTACTGTCCCAAGTCAACAAGCTCTTGGGCTGCAAGTTGTGCTCTTCCTCAACTTTCTATGACACAGATTCACGGAGATAAAATATAGTGATTATCCCTGAAAACAAGGAAATCAAATCAGATCTCCAAAGCCTATCTCCTCTGCCTAAACTCACCTTTTTTGAATTCCAAAACTGGTTTTGGAATTGTGAGATTGAGGACTCTGTGTCCATAGCTTTTTGGAATGTTCCATAGTTTGCTTTTCAACTCACAATCTTTGGAGCACAATCCTGTTTGACATTTCCTTATTTTCAACAATAAGCACTATACAATTACCAAAGAAGATCAATTCTTCAGAAAAAAAAATCATTATTTTTCTTCAAAAAGATATGCAGGGATTGCTCTCAATGAGAGCAGATCCCAACCTTGGAAATATCTTGAAAAACTTGATGGCTTGGTATGGTTTTATTGTTTTTAAAAGAAAACAACAAAAAAGATATGCATGGAGTCCTCTTGGTGAGAGCATTCCAGAACTTCAATTGGCTAGTGATTACAACAACTTTTGTGGTCTAGTGATCATTTTGGGCCTTGGTTTGAAATTGACAACAATTTGCCTACTATAGGCCTTGCATTGTTTTTTATGAAAATATCACTCTATTTTGGAAAGTGAAGGGCTCACAGCATGAAGAATATGGGCTGTGCGGTGGGAAGGTGTCCACGTAAGGAGCCCCTGAGGTCCGACTCACCAAAATATTTGCTGGGTGCGCTCGAGTCAGTCGAGTACCTCGGGTAATGCCCCAAAACAGGCGGGCGTTGAGTTTTTGCCGATTCAAAAAAAATATGACAAAGCTTCCGGAAGGAAGCTACCCAACCCAAAGCATGGCGCTATCTAAGACCCAATAAAAGAAGGCATAGAAACAGTGGAACATCATTAATGTTAAAGGAGAACGATGGATTCCGACAAAATCGACAAATGCGAACAAAATAAACAAATTCTCCTTGTTTCAGCTGGGGAAACTGGAGTTTTGACCAGCCAAAGTTTCGGCTTTGGGAGAGTTACTTTCAATCGCCTTATGATTCTCTGCCAGTTGGCACTAAACAAAATTTGATACCCAAGATGACACTACTCACCTTCTTGGCCAACCTGTGATTTTCTCAAAGTTAGCTCCATGGACATGAGCAGCCCTCATACGTCAGTATATTCAATTGGCTTCAAAACTTACAGGTTCATTTGATAATCGTAATTCTTGAATAGGGATTTGTTGACTTTGTATACCTTCACCGAAATTGATCGATCGAGAATAGGTTGATTGAATTCAGCTTACTTACTGCACATTATCAATCATCAATCTAAGCCCTAAACATCTCAATTGTGTAACTATCAGATGCATCAAACCGAATTGTTTCAACTTATTAAACTCAACTATGTATCTACCATTCATTAAACAAGAAAACCTTGGATCTGAACAAATCAACAATTTCCTCCAATTTGTTAGTCTTCAATTACTCATTTTCACTTTGACATCATTCACATTCAAATCGGATTGAATCTCTTTATTTGGATGTCAAAGCAAAAGTTATTAAATCAGCTAATGGGAATAGTCATTTAGAAACAACTGATTGTGAAAACTTGTGCAGTGTAAGTCCTTTTCAATTCATCTATCAACTAATCCTTGACTAATCTAGATTGGATTTGTGATCTCATTTATGTTCCTAAACCTTGATCAACTGCCAACTCATGATCATCAAACCTCAGAATTCATTTCAAATTCACTCCATTCTCACTCTCAACTTCATTCACTTCATCCAACTCTACATCAAAATCCGATCTATCTCATTCAATTCATCAATCACCTTTGCCTAGCCTACTACTCGATTCAACTGGATTCTACGATTTACATAAGTATCACTGTCTTGCAACCTCATTCACCTCTTGCCATCACTCACGCAATCTTAGCAGCTAGCATTGCATTAGGATCAGCAAGTGAATCAACCTGAAATTCAGTTACCAGAATCTCAGCTGCAATGTCATCCAATCATCATTCAAGTTAAACAAGAACAATAGAATCATTGAATTGACAAATTGAGAAATTCAATCAGCTGAATAACTGTGAGTTTTGGGCTGCCAAAGTTTTGACCTTTCAACAATGATTTACTCGACATTACAACAATCCAGCAGCTTCCATAATATGTCGGCATATTCTGGAACAGCTACACACAGCTTACCCTTATTCATTTTAGGGACCATCTGTTTCCGGCTTGCCTGGCCAACAATACATGCAATACCACGCATCACATGGATAATACCAACCAATATTGATTTTAAATAATTCATTTCTGTGTGTACATTTCTTCTACTCATTGGGGTACATGTCCAAAACTAATCGATTTTGATACTTTTGAAGTTTAAATCAACAGACCAGTCTTGAGATTTTGATAGTTGGACCTTCACAGCTGACGTTTTAGGCTGCCCATTCATACTTTTTATCAATGTAGTATTTCTCAATCCTTCTCTGATCCATCCGGATGGTAACTTCTCTTTTGGTAAGTCTTTGTGTTTGGTTCATCATTTCATGTTTAAGTATCTCCTTTCAAGTCCGAGTTCATCTGACCTTGATTCTTATAGAACCAAAGTTTTACAGTTGATTCAATGTTAACTTACCAAGTTGAAACTCGATCAAACATATCATTCAACTCATCTTTCTTACAATCAAGCTTCTTGAAAGGGACTTTTGAGTCTTTACTCTTGATGATGGTAAGATGATCAACTTTGCAATTGAAGATATTCAATAATCTTCATCCAAATAGATTCATTCAAAGTCAATTGAAACAATCCGATCAAACCTTATTTCATCGTTATCAATCTAATCATCATCAGAATCAATATAATCAGACAAGGAAAGACTTGAAATTGATCGATAGTCAATTAAATCAAAGTATCAAACACCATGAATTGATTTCAAATGAATCAGAATCAGAATCAAATCATAAATCAATTTACCTTATTCACCAAAACACGGAATCGATTCATTCAAAAAACTATTCTACCTCACAAACCAATCCAAGTTTTGTATAAACTCTAGCGTAATTAATCATTATCAAAGTCAAGATCATCAATCTTGATAGTATTAACAACTATGTCAAGTTATTCAGTTTATCTAAACCCTAAAACATATCTATCAAACCAATCAAATCAAATGATAATCTTACTATCAACTGTTTCTTTTTCCTTGAACTTCAAGTACTTCAAGATTTTCTGATACCTGTCTTTCCTACTTTGTGATTGTGACCATAGTTGGTATTTGGGATGTGGTAAATTGGAATCACTTGAAAATTTAAAAGCTTTCTTTTAATTTGAATCTTGTTAAATCGAGACCAAGGAAAGTACTTTTTCTTTCAAAATCATCCAAATTATTGTTGATCATGTCACGAAGTTTCTTTTTGGGTTCTCTTCACACAGTTTGGGCAATTCTAGATCACAAGGATTAAGTTGCCAACTGAAAAGATTGCAACCCAACAAGTTCGCAAGTTAGTCCAGCTGGCTCTTCATTATTGAAAACTCTTTGCTCTTTGTTGTATTTTTCTGTTTTGAGTATTGAAGAATTTCATGCAAATGAAAACATCATCATTCATCAATCAATTGGTCCGAAAACTTGATTGTCTTTGAAACAAGGCTCCAAAATTGAAATTGAAACCAAAAAACATGTAGTAGGTCATCTTGCAGTGATTTGAGGTGAGGTATGAAGAACCTGAGGATAGATTAGGTGACCTGTTGCATTCCTTCAGTGTTAAACACAAATTCTACTGTTTTTGGAGATTTAATCAATCATCTATGATCCAAGTTACTTCTGGGTCTGGATTAAATAAGTCAACTTGAAAGAGGCTGATCAGAGCCAGACAAAACTATTGTTTCAACCTCATTCACCAATTATCTACTCATCCATATCTATAATTGAATTTTATTCATTCTCAATACAGGTGTGCAAGGATGGAATTTGGAGAGTTTTCAGAAGACAAATTTGGATTCCATGATACAGTCAGTATGCTTCAGCTTCCGTAAGCTTCTTGGGAGAAATATTTTTCAGTATTTCAATTGACAATATCATTCCACTGGAATGTATTTTTCATTTAGGTATGGAATATGATGCTACAGTTGTTCCAAACAGTATGTAATCCATTTTGCAATCATTGATGAGCATGATTGGAAAGTTGATGCTGCAACATATCCAAAATTGATAAAATTTTCTTATCATGTCAAAAATGCAACACTCCCACATCTTATCAGAATCCCCAATGTATGTGAAGTGATTCAATATTTTGTTTGGAGGTTTTAGATACCTGATCTTGATCTGTCAGATCATGCATTTATATACTTGACTGAGCCTCACATATCAATCTGCCCTGGGGATGGTACGCCTCATGGAGGTGCCCACTACTGATAGCCTTTCAGGCAAAAAATCCAGTCAATGATTTGAGTCAACAAAAAATCTGACAATGAAGACACCAGTCAATAATTTATTACAGATTAACTCAAATAGGAGTTCTGATTGCATGAAACCTATAGTTGACTATTTACTTCCCAGGCCCAAATGTGACTTACTCATTTGAATCATGTATTGTTTAAGCATCCTGCAGACATCAGCCACTTTGTATATTAAAAGTGTTGATGGTTACCACCAGCTTTATTATTCTGATTTACTGGCAGAAGACTCCACTGTATTTATCTGCATGGCCTAAGCAAACACTATATTTTATCTGTAAGCCTTGCTGATGTTGTGTTATCATAGACAATTATTTCTGTATGTGAATTAATTCACAACTACTCCTGTAATGATACAAGAAATAAAACACATTATGTATGCATACCTATTCCTACCAAGCAACCAAATTGTGTGATTGATAAAGTATCCAAAAGCCAAGACAAAATGATAATTAAAGTGATTTGATTTGGAAATCATTAGGAGGTTAGGGCTTGGGGCTTAGGGCTTAGGGCTTAGGCTTAGGGTGTTAGGCTTAGGGCAAGGATATCATCATCCCACTCCAAGGGCATGCACCATTAGCTCTGTTCAAGATCACCATGATTCCCCCAATCCTTGTTCTTACCACAATTAGAACCTGTAAATGACATGCCCTTCATACCCTGCTCCACTCCTCCCTTTCCTGTTGCTACCTGTCAGCATCTAACAGGCCCAATATATCATCCCTTCCCATATCAAACCATGTACAACATCAACAGTACAAATTTTCTTTTTGATATCCAATGATGTCAATTGGAAGTCTTCAAGAACCTCATGCTTTATATCACAAGTTTCACAAGTAGCAGTAAATACGGGTGTACTGTATTTGAAGCAATTTTTGGTCCTGCTCTGGGCAATCCAAAGAATCTCAAATGTTTGTTTTTGAAGCTGAGCAAAGCCAAATTATTCAGAATCTTAGTGGAGTGATTCAAGGATTCTGGCAACAAGTCTCACCTCAGACCTGAATTGAACCACACCAACATGTGGTTAAGTTTGGTGATTTTCTATCTGATCTGCATAATGGTGAGTTACAAGTAGTCACCACACTCCATGCTTACAGGATTCTTCTGTAGAACTCCACCACAGCCTAAGTGAACAGAAGCTGGAGTATATTATTCAGCTCCTGTGACCTCCACCTCAGTAACAGATGCAGAATGATCACAATGGCTACTCAGTTTGGAGCAATGATATACTTAGGCTGGCATTGCATTCCTTGTGATTTTTGAATGGACATTAATTAAGCTATGAAATACTTTCACTGCATTGTAATGCAACCAATTTCACATAAAGATGCTTTCCCCTTTAGTGCTATTTGAGCCAGCATAGCCTCCAGAATTCTACATGAATTGACCTAAGAGAATCCCTTGTTGCAACGGCGGCGCCCGCCGCCCAACTTGGCTAGTTTTCTTTTTATTTGCCAAACGCACGAACGTCACCGAAATACACTCGAACACGAACTCAATGGCCTCAAGCTCAACAAACAAGTTCTTGCTAACATCAGCGCCTTTAAGCACCTTGCCGCCTTTTGCAACTCCACATGGAGGTTCGCGAATCGCTGGACATGGGCTAAGGCCTCAAATGAACCCCACCCTCTGAATAGACCCCAACCCCTGGAATGCCTCTAATTCCCTCTCCGCTACCTCACCGCCCTACTATCCACAATTATCATATAACACTTGTACCCTAGATGAAACAGCCAACAGCTACCTTTCCCCTGACACAGCCAGAGGGGTTTTACCGGTGCTGGACATAAACATAGTGTTTGATAGCCTAGCGGCTCAAAAAGCACTTTAAGCAATGCAAAAAAAAAAAAAAAAAGGTAATGGATGAATGAAGTGCAATGCGGGCGCCTTTGTTTATCATCACCACCAGCGATCTGCCACCAGCAATCCTGACACTCATGGTGACTGCATCGATACCTGCAACTTTCCTGACCTTGATTTCCGAACACCGCCCGTATTTTCATAAGGTAAGGTAAATCCATTTCAGGGAAAGGCTTCTTCATACACAAAGGCGGGTGTTCGTTTCCAGAAAGACTAAACGCACCATTTCATTGACACAGAGTCAAAAGGCGGAGATCGGTGAGCTCGGAGCTCACGCGAGTTGCAGAATAACCTCTGACTCGAACGATGAGCTCCTGAAGACTTCTGCGAAGTTTCCCTCCGCCATCATGTGCTAAGACGAGCAGACAGCTCGCCAACTATTCTCGTGGCGGCTGTGTTGAGGAATCACAAGAAAATTGAATTCAGAATTGGATGGCAAATCAATCGCCATCGATGCCAGGTGCAATCAAACCACTTAGCCTGAGGTGTCTCAAACTAGTTTCCGGGACAATTGAAGCGATGAAGATGCCACGCAGACTGATACTGATACACAGTGATACGCAAGGACATGAACCCTCATGGACCATCAACACACGTTTCCCGACGATTTGGTTGAATTCTGCGGCCAAAATCGGGTTTGGTTTATAAGATGGTCTGAATGTCAAGGTAGCACAGTAGATTACGATACGTGGAGCTCGCTCAGTATCCCTGTTCTCTCGTCTTGTCTATGAGTTGACTTGTATCTTCGAAATAAGTTGTCATTCACTAGGGTCTATTTCGAAATCCTTGCTAACATGCATCGATCAGTCATGTTTCAGGCCAGTGACCGTTCCAGCCAAGTTCACACCCCGACTCAGACAGTGTCAGCTCTCCTCATGAGTTCAAATTCATGATTGTCGCCAGTCCGCTAAGACTGCGAATCAGGTCATTCCATCCTTGAATTGCTTTTGCCAGGTCGACCTCCCAGGCACCAAAGTCCAACATTCGTAACAGATCTAATCATATAGCAAAAGTTTCACTTCCGCCATCTCCTCTCGCTGCTCTGCTTCGCTCTAATCAGTGCGCTTTGTCATTTCTACTTTTGTTTTCGTCTACATTTTCAGCCTTCAGGCCTTACATTCTTCCGCTTAATTGGGTACCTTCTTAAATTGTCATCAGACCTTGATGCCCTATTTATCTTGACCGCTGTCGCATTTTTGTTCTATTCACAATCTATTCGCCATTTCGATTCCGACTGTTGCTTGACGCGCCCCTTATCTTTACAATCCTTCATTTTCAAGGCTTGAGCTTTTTAACGTCTGTTATTCAGTCATAATAACAATTCTCATTAGCTGGTTGTTCTACGAATTCTTGAAATATCAACACTATCATTCGCTAGCCATTTCATCAATCTTTGGAGTTTTCTTGTGCCTTTCTGCTGTTGCAACTGCTATAAAGAGAGAGTGTATCTTCCCATCTCTTGCTTTTCCTCATCGCTTTCATTCAATTTCCAAGTCTTTCGACCAACAAATCCATCTCTTCCCTGGCTCAAAGCAGACCCCAACTAAAAACCTTCGTAAGTCCCAGCACGTCTCTTTGACCATGAACTCCATGAGAAATTCACCTCACATCGCTTGCACCTCATTCTTCACAGCCACTTAGAATTCATTCTACATACTAACCGGCAGATTCGCCATGTCTCTACTTCCCTTTCAACTTGTTCTTTCGTGAGTCTCTCTCGGCCGTTGCGTTTCCTATTCCATCACGCAACTTCTGACTGTTTTAGTACCGTTTCCCACCTTCCTCGTCACTATGATAACGAGATTGCAGTATCAATGCCCGGCACTACCGGACTTTCAACGTTCGAAACAAGACAAGTTTCACGGTATACCATCTCAAGGAATCCCTGGGACAAGATTTCGAAGTACCGACTCTGGACATTCATTTCACACGTTAGTGTAGCCAATATACATGCCTATATACGCCCCTCGTCATATTCACTGATGTGCTTTCATCTTTCATGTCAGTTGTCTCGGGCCTTTTTGTGCGCGACCACCACTGCCTATATAACTACCGGGCCAGTGATGGAAACCATGCTTCGCTCGACGTAGACTTACGCGAGTCATGCTCGGCCTCGGAACTAGTAGGCAGAGTCATCAGCTTCCAGTTCCGTGACAACCCACATCCAACGGATCTTGAGGGAGTATCAGAGGACGGCATACAAAAAGTTGATCTCAGTTGCCGCAGACGCCGCACGGAGTCTTCTACCCCTCCAACGTCTCCAACGATCGCGGAATCATCGAGACAAACTCTGCGTCTAACCCGAGAACCGACGATCTCTTTGGACGGAAGAGATGAGGATCCTTTCCTTATCTCATCTCAGTCTTATCTCGAGGATGAAAACGAGGATGAGAACCACGAGTCAGACTCTACGAGTGATATAGATGATGATCTGTACAGTGATGATGGGGCAATGCCGGACGATGAATCAGTTCAGCGTAGGGCCTGGCCCACTGACACTTCTCAATTGACGTACGACCACTTGCTAGCTTTGGTACGTAGCACAATACCATCCTTCTGCCACATAAAGGAACGGTTTGTTTGACGAGGTCTCACATTGTCTACTGCAGGCGTCGGTAACATGGCTCCACCATCCAAAGCGAGAGATGTCTTTGCGCCATTCGCTCTTGAAGGTTGATTTCCAGCGCAAGCTGCTCCAGGAAATCAATCAAATTCAGATGGGCGAAACGGTAGAGCCGACAATCAACAATGACGAAGTAGTCACGGATTCGGCACAGCTTACCGACTCTCGGCCAAGCCCAACAGTGGTTGATCTACCACCTGCGCTCCCTTCGGAGACTGCGTGTCTTGACGCTGAAGGACCCATACCAAAACCACGCACAAGCACGAAAGCCCTCGATACAATGGCTGTGTCCAAGGATCTACCAGTGAGAGTCGTAGAACACCATATCACATCTACGACTACTGAAGACATCGAGGATACCGAAGACACCCCCAAACGCCGGTCAAGTTCCACCTCACTTCGACTCCAAGGCCTCATCTCGGCAATTCAACGTACCCGCGCGTTGGTAAACTCTGAGCGGAGACAGAACGCGGTGGTCGTCCTCCAAAATGACCCCGAGAACACGGCTCTCCATCTGTGAGGAGACCTTGAGATGTTTCAACCGGGCATGTATCTCTCTTTTATACCATCAATCTTTCTCTCAATACGCATTCAGTGAAACAATCTTGTATAGCTATCAGCATTTTCATCTTTTCATTTAAAGGAAGAATCTCTTTTGTATAATTTTTCAATAACAGAATTATGTAATTGTTGTAGTCTGTATTCATCTACTCTATATGTAACTTCATGCTGCTCTTGTTGATCATCCTCATCCAATTTTTTTCACTTTTGAATGAAAAGACTCAGCTTGGTGTACCAATTCTCAAAAGCTGAAACCCGTTCTTGCCTTCTATAACCACACAGAATTAAAGATATTGAGATGAGGTTTTTACACAAATTCACAATACAAGACTAGCATACAAAATATGACCTATTAGTATTTCTACATTATGTCAGAATAAGTGGCAGTCATACAATGTAAGTTCTGTGTAGTGTCAAACACCACCTTGGTTTGAGCTGACACAGAAAATTTAATTGGTCAATTTTGGTTGTTGCAATGCCAATGACTTCTGCAAGAATCACTGGAACATATTGAAGACAATGAGTTTTGATACTGCCAGAGCATCATGATCTTGTTGGCAATGTGGTTTAACTGCATTTGATAATGTGTCATCCTTTTTAAAAAAATCACATACAGCTCAAGTTACAAAGCAGGCATATCTCCGCAGTCTCCTGCTATATTCCATACAAGACTAACTGGAAATTGACTACATAAAATCAAAAAAGATTCATTGACATCATCCACTTTATGCAATACTCATCATTTTCTTTTCTTGAGAAAATACAAGAAGTATTCACAATAAACCCCCAATTTCACCAAGTTCATCTCTGCTTATGGGTGCAACTTTTACCTCAGATTGTTAGAGCTTGTGCCCTCAAGAAGAGCTGCAATTGGTTAAGTCGAGATAAACCCATGTTTACATCCAATGAAGCAATATGAAAGAAAAGCAGCCATTTTGTCTCTATCGTTTCTTGAAGATACAGTTGAACAGATGCATGAATTTGGTGGGTAATCTCTGCTTACCCTTCCATTTGACATTTTGATCCACAGTACACATGAAACTGTGAGATAAATTGTTGGCTACAAAATACAATCAGATTATATGAATGAGATATGGTCCTACACTGTGTCATAGTCATAGATGAGATGTATCTGACCAAAGTTTTACTGCAGCTGATGGTGAACTGACAGTGGCCATATAACCTTTCCTTGCAATCTACCTTCTCCAAAGTCAAATTCCACCCACTTTGAAGGTTTTGAAATTATGATGGAATGAGTACAGTCAAACCTGCACAATTGCATACTTGCACAATACCCATGTTAATGCATACAACCCTAATCTTCATACCTTTAAGCAAGAGCAGTGAGTATGAGTATACCCAACACATACTCAATTAGCACAGGTTTTGGCCCTGTGGTGAGTATATGTACTCCCAATATGGACTGTATGAGTTGAAGTCCACATCAGAGAACTTGCTTGCAAGTGTAACATGAATACATGGTACAAGTGTGCCCACTCTCCACACTGAATACTCACTATATCTGTTTTAGCACACACCTTTTTTGGATGAGTATATACCCAGCCTAATAAAAATCCAGCAGATTCAGGATATCATCAAATCATACAGCTCATGATACCACCACCAAAAGGATTCATTATCAATCAAGTCTGTCCAGCCCTCCCAATTCAGCTTCCAGAATCAAATCAAATCCACATGCCCAATCCATCTATCCATTTGGTCTTTGTACAGCCCAGGCTTGTGGCTTTGGAATTCTTTATTTGATCTTTCTGTTTCCATTGATTCATGGCTCAAGAATCCTCAGGTGGGCATCTGGAGTAGATACTACTGGCATTGGCCTGGGTTAACTTCAATAATTGTGAGTTCAGAGATCTCATATGGACATTTGAAATCAGGTGAGGATCTTTTCTATATCTTTCTTGACCTCTGCTATTTTTCTCCCCCTCCCCAAGTCTATTCCTGGTTCTGACTTTCATCCTTCTGAATGAATTAATGAGTTCTTTCATTTTCAATATCAAGGTCTGCCCAATGTTTTTGTCACATCATGCCTTGATTTCCACTGAAAGTCTTCCAACACCTATGCATGGTGGATTACACCTTCTGCTTTTAATCATGTACCTTATTGGCTTGAGCACCCTTGACTTCCTGTGTAGTTTTGACTCCTTATATTGCTTCTTGATCATCCTATGTACAGCTTGCCAGTGGCTCTGGGTTCTCCACCCCAATTCCAGCCAAAGCAACTCCATCATTTGGACCCATGACTTAGGTGGTAAATGACACTCACAAGGGAAATGGTGAAGGAACCACCTTGAGATCTAATAGATACCAATTGGATATCTACCTGTATTTTGATGTGATTTGGTCTTATTTCTATCTTCATCATTTTTGCTCTTCCTTGCTTAAAATACTTAATTTCTCACACAATCATGTGGTCAATAGGAGCCACTGCCACTGCCTGATGTAAGCAAAGGCAACATTTAATGTTACCCCTGCCTCCACTGCCCATAATTTCATAGGTTTAAGCTTTGGGAAGGGGAGTGGTCTGGTTGCTTGGTGGTTCCAAAAGTTTGCTGTGATGTGTCAGGGCGGCAACTATTTCAGGAGTCAGGTGGCCTAGTCATCACTTGATTCTTAGCCCTGACAAAGCATCCCGCTGATATGGGATCTCAGCTATTGTGTCTTATCCTATAATAAGGGATATGATCATGTTGAATGTGGATAATCCATAAGCTTGACAATGTGTTGAAGAAACAAGACTCTGAGGCCTACTGTAAGTTAACAGATGTAAGATGGTCAGTCTTTAGGCCAGGATTTAAATCTCTGAGATGTGAAATCTAGAGTAGCCTGTGTCCAAATACTGACAGGGATCTTGCCAATGCGGAGTTGTAAGAACTGTGTAATGACAAAAGATGTCTATGTATCTTCTAGTTACATAGAAAGATTTTTGATTTGAATCTGCAAATTTTATAATCAAAGCAATTAGCTGGAAAGTAGATAGATACAATGGAGCCAATAAAGGTACTGGGAATAGAAAAGTACAGATTATAGTTCAAGAGATTAGTAAGGACGGGTTGGTGACTCTTGACTTCAAGGAAAAATAGGTGAAGTGTAACTGAGGTTGATTTACTAATTTAGCTGGACTTTGGGATAGATGAGGATCTTAAATAATTGGTTAAAGTGAAAATGGGCTTGTTCTCCATATCTTGGAGAGACTCTCCTCTATTTATATGCATCTGGCTCCAACTCATTGCACTCACCAGAGATAATTTTTCTCAAAGTGTTCTTCTTCATACATATTCAGTGAGGTGTCTTCAGAACTGAGCTACACTACATGTGATCAGTTCATTTCAAGGCTTGTTTCAATAGTCTTTTGGATGACTATTGAAGATTACAGTTAAACTAGAGCTTAGGCGGGCTCGCCCGCCTCTAACCCTGATGAACAAAGCCTTGAAACTTATGCCATAAATGTACTGGAGTACAGCAAGAAAAAAGTGATGAAACGTGATCCTTTAGGAATTCCTGTGCAATTTGATTGATTTGAATCATATCTCCATCAAATCAAGAATAAATAACTATTTTTGAAACATACAATTCCAAGAAGCAGAGCACCAAAAAACATATCAAATAAAAAAAATATTTCAAAAATAAAAAAGCAAATAATACCCAGTGTTTCCTTACAACAAGCAAAGGAGACTAAAAACAAGTCAAATAAAAAACTATTTCAAAAATAAAAAATCCATTTTTCAAGTCCAAAAAAGCAGATAATACCCAGTGTTTCTTTACAATAAACAAAGGAAACTAACTTTCAGAATGTGAAAAGAAAAGTGTAAAATAGATTCATGAAAACAGATTATAAAAAAGAGGAACTGGATTCTGACATATATGTAAATATACATATATCAGAGAGTAAGAACAGATGAAGGTCAAAAGAAAGAAGGAGGTTAAATCATATTATTGTATCTCAAAATTGGTTTCTCGGACCTTAATTCCTATGATCATACACTGCATCCACCAGAGAGGCTCTTGACGTGGAGAACGTCACCCACTACAAAGGGCCCCCTTTGTAGTACATTCCGCTCTCAAAATCGAGAACATATCTGGCGGGCGCAGTGATAAGTAGCAGATCTAGATGAGCTGATCCAAAATCAAATTTACCTAGTCATTAGCTAAGACTGTTTGAATCGTGGTAATGTGTTATTAAAGGACCCTGTAGTGAAGTACTTCAAGTCCCATAACAAATGTACAAATAATGAAAGATAAACCAATAGTAATACAAAAACCAATACATTTTTCACAAATGTCAATCACAAATAAATACAACCACCAAAGTCATAGCTAATAATTTCTGTAAAAGGTAGAAAAATTAAAGATGTAACCTGATCTCTTCCTCTGATGCAATCCTTCTAAGATGTGAGATGATGATCTGAATGCTTTAAACAAATTGAGATGATAAATAGATTTGCCAAGCCTTACATTTTTTGAGAATGTGGATTGAAACAAATCATTAGAGATTTACACATACTGGATGATTGGGGATTGAAAGAATAGGCATAAATATGATGGTTGTATGAGACCAAGTATAATAAGTGGTAGCTTACAGGTGGTATCAGCTTGTTGGTATTGTTTTTCTCCAATATATTCTTTGAGTTTCTCAACCTCTTGACGAGCAGCAGCAAATTTTCTTTGGATATTGGATGCGCAATGTGCTGTATTGATTGAGTTGATGACTGGTATTCAATGTTTGAAACAGGAGATAGAAAGCATGAACGGATGATCAGCGTGAGGTAACAATGAAGAAAGATGAAAATGATAAGTGAATTGGTGATGATGACAAAAGAATTGGACTGACCTTGAAGAAGGTCAGCTTTGGTTTCCATTTGATAGATAGTATGTGTTTGGAGATTTGGTTGACAAGCTGAAGATAGGATTGATGAGATGAAGATGGGATAGATGGGATTGAGAGACATAGATTTCATTAGTGACTGCAAGGTTGTAATGCTATAGATTGATGATATACATAAGTGAACGTACTAAGATCTGAGTTCTACAGTTTCGATAGTTTCATGTCCAGTCGGTTATTCCACTTGATTGGAAGAAATTGTTTGTTATCATAATTCAGAAAAAGGGTTTATTCATGTGATGAATTAGATTTCTTTTATTGACCAATCCAGCCGGATATGCAGCAAAGTGATTTGAGAATAAAGTGAATAAGGCAAGAGACAAACTTGCCAAATAAAGACACT